AGCAAGATGCTCTCCTGTATTTCCAGTTTTGCTTTCCTTTCCAGCCTTCAGTGCAGTCAGCAGAGTGGACCCTGTCCATACCACCTGGCCTGTGGCTTTGGTGCACGTGTTCATTTCTTGCTCTTGACCTTTTCCTTCTCTCCCCGGGACAAGCCACCATTCTGTTGTGTCATCAGCAGCTCTGTCTGCATGAGCCCTTCAGAGTCTGGGTTGTTCTGTATGTGATTAGTTTTGAGACGAGGCCTCACTGTGCTGCCCCGGATGGCCTTCAGCTCCTGGGCTTAAGCACTTTGCTCTCAGCAGTTCTGACTGAGGCTGCACCACTGCCTCCAGCTGTGTGTGAGTGTTTGAATGTGTGTCTGCACAGTGGTATCTTACTGTTGTTTCTCCTTCCCCACGGCAGTGTTGTGCTGTGTGCCTGGGAAGCTTGGGGACAGTTTTTAATCTCTTTAATGTTGTTTTTGGAGAGCTGGGTATAGAACCACTGGCCTCACACGTGCTGTTCTGCCACTGAGCCACATCCCAGCCCAGCAGCCCCACCTCTTTTCAGGCCTCCGGCTGCCTGTGTTTGAAGCAACTGGCACTGATGTCACTGACACTGGTGTTCTTTTATCTGTGTCAGGCTGAGTCGTTTCTGTCTCTACCACATCACATCCACCTTTACATCAGGTTGACCCTGCACAGGGTGATTTTATCGTAGGTATTACACACCTCACCTTCCCACAAGTGGGATTTGAGCGCGTTGAACGCTGCTTTGGCGCAGTGACACACACTCACACGCACACGCCTTAAGTGGAGACTGAACACGCAAGCAGTGCCCATCTTTGCTTAGAGTGGTTGTCAGGGCATCCTAGGGGAGGCAGTGACCCTCTTGTGTTCTTCTTAGGTGCCGTTGTGACTATCACCACACCTGTAAACATGAACGTGGACAGCCTTCAGTCCCTGTCCTCAGATGGGGCCACCTTGGCCGTACAGCAGGTCATGATGGCGGGGCAGAGTGAAGACGAGTCAGTGGACAGCACAGAAGATGACGGAGGCGCACTGGCGCCCACACACATCAGCGGGCTGGTGCTGGAGAACAGCGACTCCTTGCAGTAGGAGCGGCGCCACCAGGGCCAGTGTGGAGCGGGAGCACCTGAGTCTTTATTGTTTGCACAGCAAACATTTTACACAGTTTTCTTTGTAATATGTTTTATATGTAGATATAGAAGAGTGCACTTTTGTATTTCACAGCAAGCTTCAAGACGTCTTTGCTGGTGCAGCAACTTCCTTCAGATGTGCGTGTGTGGGTTTTTAATGCTAGAAACATGATGAGTGGCCTCTGCCCCCTGAGTCCCTGATGAGATTAAGGAACAGTGCTGCCATTTTCTAAAAAATTATGCAGTTGCAATTGAGTTCTGTGGTTTACAGCAGGTCTGGGGGCTGCCGCTTGTGTCGCCCACAGATCTGAAAGATGGTCTGCACTCGGGCTGCAGGCGAGACGACGCTGGCCCTGGTGGGCGTGAATGCCCACGACACACTTCAGTTCTCTGCGGGCAGCATTGGCCTGTTTCATTTGCTATATAGAAAAAGAAACTCCTATTTTTACCTTGCTGGGATTATTGGATAAAAAGCTATTTTTATAAATCAGTTATTAATTGGATTATGACTATATTGAGGATAAATTTCTAGAGAAGGAACAACAGCACATGCTTGTCTTTCGATTTGGAATGTCCTGAGAGGCGGTGCCCATGCCTGGTCTCCTGCTCCCCGGGAAGGAGGAGGTTCACCTCAACTGCTAAGAGGAAACAACTGTCAAGTGAACTTTTGCTATCTCCAGCTTTGTGTTCAGATGTGATGCTCAGATTGCATTCACACTTGATCTAGGCATCTTACAGAGTTGTGCTCAGTAGGATGTACGGTAAGTGAGGCTGCCGCCATGCGGCGCCCGTGGTGTGTCGTAGCTCTGCCATGCCTAGTCCAGCCTAATTCACATTGACTGCAGGTACATGGCTGCCTGGCCATGTTAACTGGGTGGTGATTTTAGATTGTTTTTTTTTTTTTTTTAGTTAAAACATGTTACACACAGAACATTTACTGTAAACTAATATAAAGTGTGTTCTGCCCCCACTGGCTCAGAGCCAGGGTAAAGAGCACACAGCCCAGCTGTCTTCCACAGTGGCAGGCACCTGGAGTTAAAACGATGGACGGATGTGCCCGTGGGCCCACTGGTGGCTCACAGGCATTGGTGGCTCTCTTGCTGTCGCAGACTCTTGTTGCATATTGTTGCTTCCTTTTCCAGAGTCCACCCCTTTCAGTTACCACTCCCGATTTAGGACTGTTTGGGGACTTTGTTTCTGGTGTCGAGGTAGAGCAGACTGTAGGCTGAGGTCTGGGGTCTGGCTTGATTTGTTTCGGTTTGCTCGGGTAGCTTTTTCCATGGAGACACAAGCACCTTGCTTCGTGTCGAGCATCTGTGTTTTCACAGTGGTACCTAGGCTGGGAGAGAACAGCTGTGCAGTTGTCAGGGGCCATGCCCTGGGCCCTTGGTTATGGACCAAGGTTACCCTAGGGGGACATCTTTAGCGAAGTCACACTTTTTTTTTTTTTTTTTTTTCTGGAATTGTTCGCCATCCCCCAAATGTCTTGATTGTATTCAGACATGGAGCACACCTGGACAGCCAAGTAGTCAGCAAGAAAAGCAGGTGCTCCTTTCAGTCCATTTAAGGAGCCTTTGCTACAAAAAAAAAAAAAAAAAACAAAACAGCAAAATAAAACAAGCAAAAACAAAACAAAAAAAAAAATGAAAACAAAAACTTTCCAGCAACCCTTTTGAGGAGAGATTTATATTTTAAACAGTCTTTCCATTACTTATTCACAAACTACTTTAATATTTTAAGTCAGGTGTCCAAAAGCCTGGAATACCGGCTGGTGTTGACTGGGTTTAGAGCAGATAGATGGCCCCTGAGCTCCTGCCACCCTCCCCAAAGAAAGCGCAGTGCCTGCTGTCCTGCTTGTGTGCCGGCTGCTGGCTACTCCAGCTGGGCTTTGGACACCATGATCCCACAGGTCCTTTCCAGTCGGAATCATCTTTCCTAAGCCCTGGACTCTGACTTCCTGAAGTCAGAGGAATAGCGTGAAAGTCCATAAGAGAAGATGGGGCATGGTGACACACTCCTGTAATCCCAGCACTCAGGAACCTGATACAGGAGGCAAGCCTGGGCTACATAGCCTTGACCCTGCCTAAAAAGAAGGTCGTGAAAGAGTTGGCACAGGGTCGTAGCTGGAGTTTCCTTCCACCTCCCTGTGTATATCAAGGTGTTCTTCAGTAGTTCCCGTGAGGCAAGCCATTCTGGTTCCTAGAGTTACTGCCCAGCATACTTATCTGTCAGTTGCACCTTCAAGACACCTGCTTGCTGGGCTTTGTGCCTGTAACAAGCACTTAGGGGGCTGAAGCAGGATTGCTACAAGGTTGAGCTCGGCCTCGGGTGCATAGTGAAATCTTGTCTCAAAAACCCAAACAGAACTGCTCTCCTTTCCTTGGCCTGTGGAGGAAATCTGAAAGTACATTTTCATTGAGCTTTGTTTAAATGGTCAGATTCTAGCTTTCGTTACTATTAAAGTCCTCCCTAACATTGGAGCCTTTTGAATGTGTTCTGAGACATACAGTCAACCTGTGTCATTCCTGCTGTTTGGCTGCCTAGCAGAAACATAGCCTGGCTGACCCACCCCTCCGGTGGGCTCGGTTTTCTGCTTCTTTGAGTCCAGATTGTCAAATAGAGGTGTATATGCAATACGCACTGTGGCCCTTCGGGCTGCGGCCGCCGGGCCACTGTGTAGCCTGCTGAGTGGCTGGCGCACCTGTGGGGGCAGCAGAGCCTCGTTCCTCCCACACACAGGCAGGGAATGCCCATCCTGAAGGCCTCTCCCGCAGGTAGTGACAGAACTCAGCAGTCTGCCTTTTTCAGTTAAGTTTGGTCTTTGAAACTGACAATCTTTAAAAATGTGAATACTGTAACAATATGTTTTCTTGGATTGTTGTCTTTAAAAGGATTTTTGTGAAGCGATTGATTTATCAAAGAAAAAAATTAAAAACAGAAACACGCCTTGTGGATGATTCATTCTGTAGAGTTTGTGCCACCAAAGCTGCCTGTTCCCTTTAAGTGAGATTTTCAGGTTGTCACAAAACACTGGAGTTCCTCAGGACAAACTGATGGTACACCCACTGTTCAACTTCATTCACACCTTCAAGGGTCTGGGCTTTAATTAGTCATTTTTCGGGGAAAAATACGCAAAACAGAATTTTCCTTGTAATTTTTCATAAATTGAATCACTTTGGCATATCAAGAGAATGGTTCACGGGTACAGACCCATAGCCTTTGCTGGGCAGCACTGTAAAGCCCCTTGCAAGGCGGATCTTGGGCACATCCAGGAGGACAGGAAATTGTCCTGGTGTTACAGGTCCACAGCTTGTGTTGGAGCAGCGGACCAACACAAAAAGTGTGTCTAAGGTGAAGGTGAAGCTCAGTTGGCAGATAACCTGCCTAGCTTGCACAGAGCCCTGGCTTCAGTACCCAGCACCCGTAAATGTGGAGTGGTGACACACCCCATGATCCTGGCAGTTGGGAGTAGAAGGTCAGAAATCGGAAGCCCAAGCTCCAGAAACAGGAGATGGGAGAGACCTTGTCTGGGAAGACAAACCATGTACAGTTGGGACCCTGGGTGGCCTGTATCTCAGGAAGTGCTCGACTTTCAGAAGGCAGGGCTGTGTCACTGTTGAACTCGAGGTGGACAGGCACACCCCAGGGGTTGGGGTAGGGGAATGTGTTCAAGCAGACATGTGCATTTACCTCCGTAACAGCCAAGAGGTGAAAACAACACCCATACTGGTACATGGATGAACGGAACACAACAAGGACCATCCACACAATGGACTCCGCCATGAAAAGAAAATTCTGATACAGGGCGACACGCGTAGCCGTGAGAGGCTCACGCCAAGGAAAAGAAGGTAGGCACAGCCACAGGTGTGTGATCGCATTTATAGGAAGTGTCCAGAACAGGGAGCCATTGAGACAGGAACATAGGGGAGGAGGGGAAGGTGAGGAATTGCCCCTTGACAGGGCCGGGCCCCAGGTGGGAACACTTCGTGCCAGACTGTATCACTTAACCGCCTCGGGTCTCAGGCCACAGGAATGCACCTTCATTAAAACCCATGTGCTCCCGTGCTGGGGCCAGTACTGCCCTTGAGGGTGGGTGCAAAGTCAGGCCAGGGTCTGTTCTTTCCTGTGCTGGAGCCTTCTCTGGAGAGAAGACCTTCTGACACCCTCAGTCTCGCCTCAGTTGTGCTCTGTGTCCGTCTCTCCTGGCTGACGCTCCTCAGCTCTTCGTTGACACCGGAAGGGAGTCACACCAGAGGAGTGCCCATGTAAGCTACCCCGGCATAGAGGAGTTAGGAAGTTGAGTGTTGGGAGGGGAGGCCGGGCCTCTGCAGCTGGTCTCAGCAGCCACCTGTTCACGCTACCACTGGACTTGGGTGTGGAAACTGGTGGTAGGTGTCTCTGAGAGCCAAGAAGCCCCAGCAGGGAGGGTGGAAGCCAGTCCCGACTTCCAGGCTCTATTTCTGGTTCTGCTCCCGGGCTGCCACGAAGTTTAGCAGGTCAATGGCAGTGACAACCCCAAACACCATTTGTCGCTCGCTGGACATGTCCTCGTTGTGGTCTAAGGAAAAGAAACAGTTGCTGGACTAAGGGTGACATGACACAGCTGATCTGAACCCCACGGTCCGTTGGAAGCAGGAGACCCTTTCCCAGCCTTCAAGCCAGAGCCAAGTACTAGCCGCCTTTGCTCCAGCTGAGCCATGTGGGCGGAGCGGGAGAGCAGCTCCTCCCACCAGCCCTGCACTAGGATTCTGGGCACTGTCTGGAACAGACAGGAAACCAACCCAGGCTCCCCAGAGTGCACGGCCTGGCATAGGCCTCCATGTCCACAGGCCACATGCAGTGTTTCTGCCAGGGCAAGCCTCAGGCCTGTTTTCTGGCCCAGACCCCTGCCTGGCAGTCAGGACCTACTCAGCTCACTCTATCCAAGTCTGTCTGCCCAGGTTTCTCCTGTAAGTTTCCTACCAGTTTGAGAGGATACAGGGAGCCCAGACTTCTGTCCACACAGTAATCTAGGTGCAGGTGGACCTTGACCCCTCATACGAGGGTCAGAGAGGAACAGAGGGGGTTCCCATGAGCAGGGGTGTCCATGGCCTAGGAGTTCTGTTCACCAGCTCTAGGGGCTCTAGGTTAACAACGTGGCCTGCAGCCCTTGGCAGGTATCCACATTAACAGGCTGGACCCTTTGTGCCAAATTCCTCCCTCTCACTCTGCAGACACATGTCCTGTCAGGCCTGTGCTCAAGAGACCCCATGCTGGCACAGTCCTTGGGAGGCTCAGAAGGCCACACCAGTGTCTGAAGACAGAGGCCCCTGTGTGGAGACTTATCAATGACAGACATCTCACTGGCCTATCTGTAGACCCAGGGAAAGACAGGGAAACATAAAAAAAAAAAAAAAAAAAGTCAGCTTGATGCATTCTGGAGTCACCGAAGCAGGCTGGCTGGTTCCTGACACAGGGTTAGCTGGGGGATGTTTTAGGTTTATGGTAGGTAACACTCAGCCCTGCCAGGCACCCCAGCTGCCCCTGAAGCTGGAATTCCTTTTTATTTGTTTGTTTTGTTTTCTTTTTGAGATGTTCAAAAATTGGGAGTCCCTCCCCTCCCTTACCCAACCTAGGGATCCAGGGCCCTAGAATGCCCTTGGAAAGCTGTGATTCTGGCCGAGAGAACCACTTCCTAGGGGCTGGGATGGGTGGGGCGTACATACCTGCAGGCCCCCCCACCACTCCTGACCAGGCCTGGTCTCGTGCTGTAGAGCCAAGGACGGGAGAGGGATTAGACACGGGGCCACCCCCACATGCAGGCCAGCCTCGGGGCCAGAGAGAAGGAGGAATGAAAATCAGCACCCCTCACCCCACTGGGACCTGAGAGCTCTGAGAGCAGAGCAGGAAAGACAGACTGAGTCCTCCAGAGGCGCAGTCTGTGGCCCACAAGCTGTCCATGTGACAGACGCCCAGAGCTACCCTCCAGAGTATGGAGAGTTCATCAGAGCCGATATCCCCTGGGATGTCATCAAGGGCTGAGAATGTCAGCTGTCGTGGGTTTTCTCAGATGGTTCCCCCCTGCGTCCTTATGACTGCCTACTGTCTCAGCCTAGGTCAGTGCTGTGCTATCTAAACAAGTGATGTGTCCTTTGGGTACATGACTGGATTTACAGGCACATAGGGAGAGACTCAGGAGGTCAAAAGTTCTGGTGGGAAGATGAGGACCACGGACTCCCCATCACCCACTAGGGAGCATGTCTGCCTACTTCACATAGCAGGGGTATGTATCACAAGATCCTGTGCCAGGCACAGCCAGTGTCCTGAGCTTAACACTCTTGGCCCCCAACAAGAACCCAGCACCAAGCGGGCCCCACTCACATTGGATCTGCTCATGGACCACCAGGGCAAAGTGGTCCATCTCCAGGATATGGGAGAGCATGCCCAGAGTGTCGGTCAGGTGGATCTGCAAGAGAAGCTGTGTTTGTGCTGGCCCTCCAGGACAGGCCCTCAGAGCTACCAGCCCCTTTACGCTTGACAAAACAGGCGCAGCACTCGCCATAGCTGCTTGAGGAGTTTCCTGGCACAGCCCTAGAGTGTTCTGGTAGAGCAACCTGCCCGAACAGTGGCTTGCCATCTCACTTCAACCCCACGGCCTCTGCTCGGAGGCCAAACTAGTGGACAGACCAGTGGCTGTGGGGTCTGTGAAAGAGAGATGAACCCAGAGTGCAGAGCTTGGACTGGTGTGCACCCAAGACCTAACGGCGGCGGTGACTTTGAACTGAAGTCACCTCGAACCCCCTAAGCCAGCTTTATAGTTTCCAAGGGGTGGTGTGGGTCAGGGACCCATGTCTAGTAAAGCACATCCTGTGCTCCGCCTTGAGGGCTCAGCTTCCTCTCACATGCCCACTGCCCCTCTGGAAAAAAAAAAAAAAGAAACAAAACAAAAAACCCACATACCGGTTTGAACTGCTTGTAGAGGACTTTGCAGACCTCGTCAGATGGCTTCACCTTCCCAGCGAGCAGAGATGACAGCATGTTCCCGAGAGTCACCATCCCCAGGATGGCCCTGAGGCGAGCATAGAGTTTAGGGTAATGAAGAGACAGGGGACAGAGAGGGATCTCTGGCCAACGTGGAGTTCCTCTTAAGAATTCGGCCAGGGAGCTGGAGAAATGGCTCAGCAATCAAGAGCATCTGCTGCTCTGCTGCTCTTGCAGAGGACCTGGGTTCGGTTCCCAGCATCCACATGGCAGCTCACAACCATCTGGAATTCCAGTTCCAGATCTTTTGACTGCCATAAACACTGAGCACACAGTTGATGCACACACACACACATGTATGTACACACACACACACACACACACACACACACACGCAGGCAAAACACTTGCAGGCATGAAAATATAGCTGGGAGAGAGAAAACAGAGAAACCCCACAAAGGAACAAGTAAGGGACAAGTTTTTATCCCCGCAGGGGTCCAGAATGACTAGCCATCAGACTTTTGAGATGATACAGTATGCTGGTCAACCAGGCCTCCCTGCCACGCTTTCACTGTATGCCATCCCCAGGTGCCTGTCACCTACTCCCTAGGGCAGGATGTGGTCCTAAACACTGACTGAATGAACTGCAGGGGACAGAAACACTAAGGCCCAAAGAGTTAGTAATGGTCCAATCTCAGCTGCTCTGGGACAAGCTGATCAGCAGGCTGTCCGTGGCTCTGGACATTGTATGCAAACTGTCGCTACCCATCCTATTCAGTGACATGGACAGAGAGGCCTAGGGAACAGGCTCTAGGATCCTGGCACGGTCTAACGTCAGAACCCCGTACTGGGGTGAGGGTGAGACTAACCCCGACTCGCTGACCACAGGTGCCTGGTCGAAGCCCTTCTCTCGGAGGATGGCGATGGTGTGCTCGCAGGTGACTGTGGGCAGCACGGTCAGGGGTGCTGACAGGCTCAGCTCTTGGACAGGCAGATGCCACCACCTGAAGGAGGGGGCGGGACAGGGCAGGAAAAGGCCTCGTGAAGCAGGAGGCAGGGCTATGAGAACCACGAGTGAGAAACTGGGAGGCCATCTTTCCTGCTCATCCAGGGGATGGGGTAGGCACCATCCTTACCAGGGTCTCTTCACTGCAAGCTCCTCCTTCATGAAACCCTTCTGCAGCATCCACTTGTCGCTCAGGAACTTGGACCTGCAGGGTCAGAGTTATCACTGAGGCCTCTGTACCCAATGGGAGGCACATACGTGGTCAGGGGTGAGGTCCTGAGGGCCTTGCAACTGCCTTGGGTATTACTGTTTCAGCACATAATGGAAGAAAAGCAGAGCCCTGGCTGGAGCGATGGCTCAGAGGTTAAGAGCACTGGCAGGCCAGGCTGGTCTTGGGTTCACAATGCCCATCAGCCTCCCAGTGGCTGGGACCTCACCTGGCTCAGTACTGGCCGTTTAATGTTCCGTCTAAAATGCAGGCGCCGGCGAGGAGGCAGAACTCCAACTCTTGCCCCTGCTCCGTTGCTTGTCCCTGACAGATAATCTTAGGAGCTGGGTTGGTGTCATTGTCCCAAGCATTCCCCTCCACCTGCCTGTTTCCCATCGAGAGCATTTGTACAGGCTGGAGAGATGGCTCAGAGGTTAAGAGCACTGGCTGGATCTTCTCCTGAGTTCAATTCCCAGCAACCACATGGTGGCTCACAACCACCTACAATGAGATCTGGTGCCCTCTTCTGGCCTGTAGGAATACATGCAGGCAGAATACTGCATACATTTTTTTTTTTTTTTTTAACAAAAGCAGAGCTTTAACTGAAGGTTACTGGGCATGCTGGTTGAAGGAACCTAGGAGGCTGCTTCTGGAAGCCTCTGTGATCAGGACCCTTCTTTGCAGGTTTCTAGGCAGCCTCCTTGGGCCCTCAGATCTGCCTCCCCGGAGGGAGCCTTTCCCATCTGACCAAAGGCTGCTGCGCAGGCTACCGAGCTACAGAGGATCTGTCCCAAAGAGACAGGCTGAGGAGCACCCGTATGAAGTACATACTCACGCACTCAAGTGCTTCAGACCCCTTGAACACACACAGGCACTCACTACAGGTCAGCCATGTTCTGGGGAGACGGGGGGCCTCTGGGTCACTTGTCACCCTACCTGGAAGCCAGCAGGATGCTCGTGCACCCTGCCAGGCTACCAAGCTCCATACAGACATCATTCTGGATGACGCCCAAGGTGAGGGAGGTGTGGGCTGCCCGTCTCTGCCACTCCTGTTGCCCATGATGCCTGCTACAGAGTAGCTGGCCCCTAGTTCAGCCAGGAACCCAGGCAGTTGACGGGACTTCAAGCCTGCTGGTCGCAGGTGGCCAGGCAGGGAGCTGGGAATGTCCTACAAGTGCAGATATCAGCACCAACGAGGCTTCACAGGCTGCTTAGCAAGGACGTCACAGCAAGTCCTCTGAGAACCCAGCCAGGGCCAGCCAGGGCCCACTCACCGTCCCAGGTCCAGTTTAGGACCTCAGATGAAGCGGCAGAGCTGGTAGGCAGGAAGCAGACTAGGATTGATACATGACCCCAGAGAGCCCATGGGGTAAAGAAATCAAACCAAAGAAACCAAGACAGAAGGGGCACAGCTGTTCATCTGAGCTGTCACCATGAACGTGCATAGACTTACACACTTACACACACACACACACATGCACAAGAGCACACGAAAGCTCAGGATGGAGCTGGGCAAAGTGGACACTGGCTCTAAAGACATGGAGGATCCTGGGACTAGCAGGCTTATAAAGGAGCTGCCCATTACCCTTCCCAGCCTCCCACCATCCGCACTTAGGTGACAGCCAGCAGGAGGATGATGGGGACCAGGGGCGTGCCTTACATATAGTTCCGCACAGAGTCGGGCAGGATGACCACGCAGCGCTGTCCTTCCTGCAGCTCCTGGGCAGCCTTCACAGCCACGGCCATGGCGCTGCCTGAACTTCCACCTGCCGAGAGGACTGTTAGACTTGCCCACACGTGCTTGCGTGTGCATCCATACACGAACACACGTGCCTGCATAATTCACACGGTCTACGCCAACACTCTAGAAGAATCTGTCCGAACTGTCCAGGCATGTATGAGTGAGTGCACAGGCCACATGCATCTCACACATGTCCATACATGCTCTGGAAGGATCTGTGGGAATCTCTGGCCAAAGAATGGGCCTGAAAGTACTCCATCCTTCTGCCTCATCTTCCTCCTCATAGTCTACGAAGTTTGCATTTCATAATTAAACCCTCACCGAGGAATCGGGGAGACCCTGGAACAAACGAGGCTTCATGCTCAGCCAGAACAAGGGCTCATGACAGGGGCTCCTGGTCCCCCAAGCAAAAGCCTGATCCCAAAGTAAAGAGCCAACCAAGGACAACTTGTGTCTCACCGACTACTCACAGCCACCATGAAAAGCAAGTAGGTGACATCAGGTGCCATTATAATGAGCGCCCTGGGTTCACTGTGACACTGACCACAGAGCGCCTTCGGACCTCTAGAGAGAGAGCCAAAGCCGCTGTTGCTGCCTCTCTGGTTGGGGCTCCTCTGGGCTCAGTCTAAGAAGGTGCAAGGCAGCCGGAAAGGTCATCCTGGTGCCTCTCACAGAGGACCATGGTCCTTCCCGCCTCTCATTTCTCAGAGCCCAGGTTTATACCACTTACACTGAGTGTAGGGTATAAACCTTCTCGGTGAGAGTCCCAGTACCAAAAGCCATCTCCTAGCAGTCACAGGCTGTTCTTTCTCTCTCCTGATAGAGAACAGCCTGACTGTTGAGAACCCAGCTATGTTGGGGATGACTGCTTTCCTCTGCCCCCTCCACCCACCCACCCACCCACCCAACACGACTCAAAACACCCGGCCACATTTATAGGGTAAGTTCAGGAATGCTTGATGTTCTCCAAATCTCAGGTCTGACTCAGCTGCTGAGGCTTCTGCTGCCCCATGGTCAGGCAGTGGTGCCTGGTCAACCCTGTGCAGAGTGACTGAGGAGCCCAGGGCGGGAAGAAGGCTGCAGAGGCTGCTTCTGAGTGTGTCTCAGCTTCACGGACAACTAGGAGGGCAAAAGCAGTGCTGTCCCAGCACCCTCGGCTCCCTTTCCAACTCCTTCAGGGGACCAAGGCCCACTATATCCTAGCCTTAAGCTGCTGTGGACTGAGCTCCCATTCCAGGGATAGGGCTGTTTATGAATAAGAGAAAAAAAAAATCCCAAGAGCTTTCCTCAAAAACTAGAAGGGTATGCTAGGCAGTGGTGGTACACACCTTTAATCCCAACACAGAGGCAGAGGTAGCAGTGAGGCAAGCAGATCTCTGTGAGTTCAAGTCCAGCCTGGTCTACAGGTCAAGTTCTAGGACAGACAGGACTACACAGTTAAAACCCTGTCTCAAAAAACAAACAAACAAGCAGGCTGTGTTGGCACACACCTGTAGTTCCAGCACTCATGGAGGAAGAGGCAAGTGGATCTCTGTGAGTTCGAGGCCAGCCTGGTCTACAAAGTGAGTCCAGGTCAGCCAAGGCTACACAGAGAAAGCCTGTCTTGAAAAACCAACCAAACAAACAAAACCTCCAAAAAACTAGAAGGGCAAATTGAAGCCCATACCTGGACCTCCCATCCTCATCTCCACAGATAACTCCAAGAGGCTGCAGAGGACAAGCAAACTGAGCTAAGGAAGGAAGAACCTGGACAGACAGATGCTCCAGCAGAGAAGGGGAGTTACTGGCAGTCACACAGCCTCAGAATGGCTGTGACTTTCATCCATTTGTCCTGGAAGGTAGCACACACCTCGAACCACCCTCTACCCCACCACCAACAGGGCTCTCCCAGCCACTCACCACACAACAGCCCTTCCTGTGCAATGAGCATGCGTGCATAGGCGAAGGAGTCCTCATCGTTGCTCTTGAACCACTGATCTACCACCTGTGGCAAGACCAGGTCATGGGATCTCAGCTCAGGCAGGGGGACACAGGGGCGGGCCAACCTCACAGAGGACTTCATCCTCTTGGCTCTGCAAACAGACTTCTCTGGCCTTCCCTGCTCCATCATGCCCTGCAGAGTAACTGAAACCACCCACATCCTGGCCATCCTCGTCCGTCCTTCCCTTTGCATCTCAGAGCCCGTGTCCAGCAGTGTCAGACGTGAACTCTAACACGGTGATGTGTTTCATCCTGTCTCAGCCCCTGTACCAGCACTCCCCCTCTGTCCCCTCAACGCTTGGGGCAGCTAAGGGCCAGAATGCAAAAGTCAAGTTAAGGACCTGGCAGGCTCTGCCTGAGCCAGAGCTTTACCTCAACCTACCGTCCTGTCCAGGACTGTTGGGACGAAGTCATAGCCAATCCCCTCCACCTCGTAGGCCGTTTGCTCTGTCTGGTTCAGCTCCTCGGGCTCCGCGAGGATGGACCCTTCAGGATCTACACCGATGATCTGCAGGGTGGGTAGCTTTAGGGCTCAGGTCAGGAAGAAGTCCCACCCAGCCCTGGGCAGCTGCTGTCACAAAGGATATTGCCCCGCTAACATCTGCCTGTTAAGGATGGTTCACTGGGTACCAGTGCTAGTCCCAGATCAGAGGAAGGTTAGCCCTCCAGAATCTCAGACAGGCTGGAAGGCCATAACCTACTGGGGCCGAGACGCAGCACAGGGTATTCGGAAGGTCCTCCCAGAGCTGCTCTGGGAAGTGTCCTCACCATGGGCATTAGGAGAGCTTCTGGGGACAAAGGGCAGCTCTGTACAATGACCTCTTCCTGGCGGGTGGACGGTTTCATGGGGAGAAAATGGCCCTGTTTCTGTGTCCTTCCTCATCAGGCCTGCCCTAACTCGGTGACTCTCAACCTCCCTAATCCTGCGACCCTTTAATAGTGTTCATGTCATGGTGACCCCAATCACTAAATTTTATTTTTATTGCTACTTCCTAACTATGATTGTGCTACTGTTATGAATTGTAGGGTAAACATATGATATGCAGGATGTCTGGTAGGTGACCCCCCCCAAGGGGGTCACAACCCGGGACTGTCTTGGGTAGCTTCTGGGCTAATCCAAAGGGCTTCATCTCACTGGATGCAGGAACCCTCCAAACCCTATGCTCCCCAAGTTCCTGCCAGGTGACTTGCCAAAACCACTCCACAATGTGATGAGATAGGAATGTGAGAGAACTCAGTTCCAAAGCAGCCCGGCCTCCCGGCCTGATGCCAGCAGCCCTCTGTGCCTCTGAACCCAGCTCTGGCCCCAGGCAAGAGATCAAGTTCAGGCTCACCCTCCCCGGCACCCGCTCCCCGCCAGCACCACCCACGGTGCCACACTCACCTTACAGCCAGGGCACTTCTCCTTCAACTTCCTGGCGATGCCTGTGATGGTGCCGCCTGTGCCTGCTGAAGCCACCAGCATGTCCAGCTTCCCTGGGGGACAGAGGATATTCTCAGGCCGTGGTTCAGCCAGCCTCAAACGACCATCAGTGGAAATACACTCAACCCAAATCAGGTCAGTGAGAGAAACTTAAACATCGCTCGTCACTGCCTCCAGTCTGTGGACGGTGTAACCAAGGCAGCAGCTGCTGCTGCACTGGGTATGACCTTGGCCTCTGAACTACCAATGTAGCCAAATCTACAAAGGTAGGTCAGCTGGGCAGCTCAAAGTCTAGCAGAGGTAAGCTGTCAGCCGTGTGTCCTCCTAGGCTATTTGAGTCCTAGGTGGTTACTGATAAGCAAACTGGACTTTTACGATACAGGAAAAATGGCTGAAGCTAAGGCTGAGAACTTGAGAACTGACTCTCATACTGCTGAGGGTCAGGCAAGTCTGAGCTGGGCAAGCTCAGGAATGAAGCAATGTATGCCAGCTTTGCCAAGCAAGAATTCTCACTCATAAAACCGGGCAGGCAAACCCTCCTCCTGGCTTTTTACTTGCCAGCTCCTGGGCACAAAACAAGCCTGCACCCAGGCCAAGGCCAACAGCAGGTTCCAAGTGGGAGAAGCCAAGGGTGGGACCTTCCAGCACCTCCTCCCATGAGAACCTCTTAGACAAGTGTCCCACCATCCCTAGGAGCTAGGCACTCAGCATATGCATGTCTCCAAGGAGCATGGCGCCCACACTGAGAGCGAGCTAATTGAAGCTGCCACCGTGCAGCTCCAGAGGTGAGAGAAACTGAATACCACCCTCAGGTTCCGCTTAGCGCTTCATCCCCAGGTGTGAGGCCAGCACTGGCATGCATGAGCTCAACAGTTCTTAGAGCCCGGAGGACGTAGGGGTGGGAACACAGACTGAACGACGAGCCTTGGACACCGGTGAGGCATAGGCAGAAGCCAAGGGCTCTCAGAGGAAGGGAGGAGCCTCTCTAGAAACTGTTTCACAGAGAGGGACATTTAAGCTGAATTTACCACAGAGTAGGTGACTCACTTGTACGCTCCAGGGCAGCCACACTTGACTGAATGTGACACAACTCCGGGGGAAGAGGGTCTCAGCGAGGGACTGTCTAGATCAGGTTGGCCCATGGGTGTGTCTTTACGAGACTGTCTTGATTATATTAATTTTTGTGGAAAGAGCTACCCTCCGAGGGTGACACCATTTCTTGGGCAGGAGACAGTGAGACGAGCACTAGGCGCGCACGCGTGCTCTTCTGCGTGCTCTTCCGTGTGGCTCTCGAGTGTCCAGCTGCTTCAAGTTCCCGCCTCCTTGACTCCCCCACCGTAATGAGCTAGAACCCAGGATGTGAGCTGAGGTAAACCTTTTCCCCCCTAAATGGCTTTTCGTCCTGGTGTTTTATCACAGAGACAGAAGCAAGAGGTCGCTGCAATCAAGGGGGGAGGGGGAGGGGTGAGAGGCACGCACCGTCACACTGCTGCAGGATCTCCTCGGCAGTGTCGTCATAGTGCGCCAGGGGGTTGCTGGCATTTCGGTACTGTGCGGAAGAAGGGAGGGGCCGTGAGCATCACGCGTGGACACTGGATGGTCAGCTCCATGCCAGCCCACAGATTCCTACGGCAGCCTGGAGAGCCTCATATACAAGATATCAAAACCAGGCCACCCCAGTGAAATGACCCAGGAGTGAAATGAACAGAGGACTAGGCCTTTGGGCTGCAGGTTCTTATACACCCTGCATCTTCAGAGCCCAGAGTCCTCTGGAAAGGGCAGCCCAACTTCACTGCTGACCCAGCACAGCTGGATTGTGTCCAGTGGGATGTCTCCCCAGTGCTGGCATCAGGACAGCAGAAACCAAAGGCTCTGCCACTGAGCAGGGCCTGGAGCAACTCCCCCAAGGAAGCACAGTCACCCCGCTCCTGTTGGGGCGAGAGCAGGACCCCATAGGAAACACCGCACTTGGACACAAATCTCTGACCGCAATTTTGTTTCCTGTGGTGACAGATCGGGTGGCAGTGGTAAGGGGGAGCACCTGACCTGGTCCAGAATATGAGAGTTGGGGATTTCGTTCTTCAGTCGCCAGGCCACTCCCACGTGAGACTCAGGGGAATCGAACCTGGCATTGGTGGGCGTCCTCACTATCTCTGCTCCCAGAGCCCGCAGCACATCCACCTGTCCAGGAAAAGATGCGCCTTTATCACTGTGCCTGGGAGCCAGCCTGAATGGAACCCTCTGGGCCCCTGGCTCTTTGACCCACTCAAGCTCGCCTTTGTTCCCTCCAGTAAAAAAAAGAGGTTTTTATTAAAGGTGAGGACACACAGGGAGGGACACAGACACACAGACACACACACCCTGCACCTATCTATTCCTTTGATGCAGCAGCAGCACATCAAGCCACGCCCTCCCGCTGGCCACGCCCTCCCCCTAGTCCCACCCTAGGCTGCCCTAGGCTCACCTTCTCCATACTCATCTTCTCTGGCATCACGATAATGCAGCGATAGCCCTTCACAGCAGCTGCCAGAGCCAGCCCGATCCCTGAGGGTTGCATACAGGGGGTGAGAGGGGCCAGGTCCCAAAGGCTTCCCCGATCCTGCCTGGGACACCCAGGACAAACCCCAAAAGCGTGGAAAGGAACCCCACACACTGACAGTGATCTCAGAGGACTGTATTCTGAAAGCCGGGTGCACACAAGTGCTTCTGGGACGGGAGCTGGACAGAACGCACAGCACGGGAGAGGCAGCCAGGGGCCAACCTTCCCCTCTTGACCTCCCTGCGGGTCTGCCCAAGCCAGGGACCTTCAGCCTCCACTCTGCCCTCACCTGTGTTCCCAGAGGTCGGCTCAATGATCGTGTCCCCGGGCTTCAGAGTTCCGGCTCGCTCAGCGTCCTCAATCATCCGAAGGCTGATTCGGTCCTTCACGCTCCCGCCCGCATTGAAGAACTCACACTTGGCCACTGCAGGTGACCATGCATCAGAGGGAGGACGCTCTGGTCCCCACACACTCCCGCCGCCCTCAAACTGCCTGATACCCCCCCCCCAGGATGAGGGCCGGCCTTGGTGTTTGCCCTTCCACGCCCACTGCCCACCTCCCTGGACACTCATGCTTACGGCTGGCCCGGTCTCCCACCTGCCCTGCAGACCCATGGCAACGCTAAGAGAATGGCCAAGAGCCCGTGGGTGGATGGTTGGAAAACATGTCCCGGCGGAACGAAATGCAGTAAGCTGCTGGACTGGAGCCCACATGCTCTGGCAGTGTAGCCAGCTCAAGCAGCGCCAGCCTGACTGCCTTAGTTCTGAAGGCCCTGCCCCAGTTGTCCCAAACCCCTCCGCCTTTGACAGCCTCCATCAACTTTTGTCGTTAAGTCTAACCCTCAAGGTCAGCATCACCCACACCTGACATCACCTCCTTCCATGCTGGACCCTTCCTTGCTCTGTAGCCTCCCTCCCCACCACATGGGTGTTTCGGGCATGGAGAAGCGCCCTACTCCAGCACACCCACAGACCACCTTCTTGGCTGGTTCTTGGTTCTGAAACCTACCATAAATAGACTGCCCTACCCCCCAGAGCTAGAAGAGATTTTGTGGGCACGGAGGGGCTTTGATGCCTGCTCACTTGGCCCCAGCCCTTGGCCATCTCATATCATTAGAACTGCGACATTGCCCCCAGGCCAAGCCAACTCAGTGCTAAGTTCAGTTAATAGCCCAGGCTATGAATGCCCACCCCATTGCTTGGGAACAGCTTCCTGCAAGGAACCCCTTCCTGGATGACCTGCATTCATCTGAGACCTAATTTCCATTCTTTGTCCCGTATGTGGTATATGATTGAGTGACCTGCCAAGACTCCAGGAAACTAATGGGAAGATACAGACAAATGCTTCCTCAGCAGCCGTGGCTATCACTTAGTACAAGCTCCGCCCCCACATAGGACCCTCCACCCCTCCTGAGGCAAAACCACCCCACACAATCTCCTCATTAATAGACTCTGCCTAACATGGTGGCTTATGTTTTTTGTTTTTGTTTTTTCAAGATAAGGTTTCTCCGTATAGCCTTGGCTGTCCTGGACTCGCTTTTGTAGATTAGACTGGCCTTGAACTCACAGAAGCAGGACCTTCCTAGGCTGGCTCCTTCACCCCAAGCTTCCCTGGCCATCAGCTGCAGAAGGGGTGTCTCAATCACCAACACAGCCAGCATTCTAGCCCCACTGCGGACACCCCAGATCCTGAGCTAGGTGTCACCCCAGGGCCCTGGTTCAGGACCAGCAGAACCAAACACTCACGTAGCTCGCATTTGAGTCCGGCATTCTTGGAGATCTTGTTGATTCTCACCATAGGGGTATTCCCAATCTTCCTCAGAATATCGGGCAAGATTTTTGGAGGTTTTGTCCTAAAACAGAGAGAGGAGGCCGTTCAGGAAACAAACCAGAATAGCGTTTTGAGCCTTGGCATCTTGTGCACTTAGGAAATCAAGAATTAGAGGAGTGCCTCGGGGAAGGAGTGCCTGGCAGATCCACCACCTGGCATAAGTAACGTACACCCAAGCACCCGCCCAAACACCTGGAACATCCAAGCACAGCGACACCTAAAGCCACGTCTGAGGGACTGGACCTCCACATAACTTCCACTTTCTGGGTCTGAACGTGTCTCAGGATGTTATGGCTGGGAAGCTAAATTAGGGACATGCTTTCTGCCACGATGATAATGGACAAAACCTCTGAAACCATAAGCGGGCCTTAATAAAATGTTTTCCCTTAAAAGAGTTGCCATTGCCGTGGTCCTGGCGTCTCTTCACAGCCATAGAACTCCAACTAAGACACCTCCTCAATGTCTAATTCAGTTAGTTTCTTCCAGAATTCATAACATTATGCTTCAAATGGTTCAACAGGAAAGGCACTGGCCATCTCTTCCAGGCTGGATCACAAAACATCATCATACTCTACATTGGGCTGAATGGGACAAAAAAACTCCATTGGAAACCCCTCTCCAAGTCAACAGTGTCATGGGTTCATTAGACCAATGGACCCCAATGTCTCTCTATTGTTTTCGAGTTCTGCTTTGTGTTTTCAGCCCCTGCTCAGCGTTCTGGCAGGACCGGTATCTCACAGGTTATAGCTTCATCCATGTCTATGCTGTCTCCCACGCCCGGGGATTGCTCCATCTCCTCTCCCTCCCTCTAATATGCCAGCCTTTCATGCCTTCCTGTCCTGTGCCTTTATGATAAGTCAGTAATGCCAACTAGTCACCCCATATCCCTACACAGACCTAAAACAGTTCAAGAAGACATTTACCCCCCCCCCAATTGATGACTTGGACTTCCTTATCTGTCAGGGGGAACACGTAGAGATTTTGTTCTAATGGCAGATGGGACCAGTAATCCCTGGTGACTTAGTGACATCTCACACAGATATGTGGGGCCTAACGCCCAGGACTCCGGGACAGGCCTCACCCTAGCAATGATGACACTTTGAGCCTAACTCCTAATGACCTGCCCTGCCTGAACAAACGGCCACGCTAAAGAAAGAGGACTTGTGTTATAAAATTGCTTAACAAAATAGTGGCATCCTGGGGGCTGGAGAGATGGCTCAGAGGTTAAGAGCACTGGCTGCTCTTCCAAAGGTCCTGAGTTCAGTTCCCAGCAACCACATGGTGGCTCACAACCATCTCTAATGAGATCTGGTACCCTCTTTTGGCATAAATGCAGGCAGAACATTGTATATATAATAAATCTTAAGAAAAAAAGATAATGGTGTCCTGTCTACATGTCCAAATACAGAGCCAGCACAAATGGCCCGCAAGGTGAGACCATGTTAATGTCCCCCTGGTTTAGAGAAAGAGCTCTCAACAAAGCAACACACTGTAATTCCAGCTCTTAGGAGACAGACACAGGAGGACTTGGATTTCAAGGTCATTCTTGGCTACACAGGAAGTTTGAAGCTAGCCTGGGATACATTGAGACCCCATCTCAGACATCGTTCCCCAGACCTCTTTCCATCTCAGCCACATGTGCCGTCTCGGGGAATTCATCTGCTACAGATAGCATATTTCAATAAATTCTCTCTCTTCTTCTCTTTTGAGCCCCGGTAAATTCTTTGATTGCTCATACCACCTATCTTCCAGATGCTATTTCCCACAGCAGCAAACTAAAAACAGCCAGGCATGGTGGCATATGCCTGTAATCCTAGCACTTGGGAGACTGAGGCAGGAGGATTGCTGTGAGTTCAAGGCCCAGGCCAATCTGGGGTATGTAACAAGACCCTATCTCAATTAAGAAAAAAAAACAACAACGAACAAACAAAAACTATTTTTGAGACTTTGAGACAATAGGCCCAGCCTCTGTCTTGCCTGAGAACCCCTTAGCCTCCCTCGACCCGAACATCTCCTTGCCTTTCAATTCAGTTCCCTGCACAACTGCCTCCCTCTCAGAGGTGGGTCTCCTCGGGTAGCATGACCCCAAGAGTCTTCAGAAGCCTGGCGTTACAGGGCTAGAAAGGCAGAAGTGGTGCATAGAAAAAATAAGGCCTAGGGCTTGTGCCTGGGGCCAGAGCTACAAGCCAGGGATAGGTCAAGCCTATGGTTACAGGACTGCTCCGCAGCATTTCAATGATAGCACGGTGTAATTAAAGAAGTTTCCAGAACGGTCTCTCTATGGCTCTCCAACCACAGGCTTGGGGTGGCTGCACAGCCATACTTCCTGCCTATGCCTACCCTTCTCAAAAACCTGTACCCCACAAGCCAGACTTTAAGGCTTGCCAGGCTGCTGGGCCCTGGCTTCCTGCCTCCTTGCCCCAGGCTTCTCACACTGGAGCCAAACTGACTAAATAGAAATCTCAGTCACCTTTGCCACCCCTCCCCCAGTGCCCCAGTCAGGGGAAGAATAAAGAATCTAGAGTTCCAGGGAGGGAGGAGAAGCTGCCCGGGGCCAACAGGCAGCAACAGGCTGAACTCCAACCAGGGAGGCAGAGTCTTGCTCTGGAGAGCTGGACAAGCTCCCTACCCGAGCCGTCCTTGGTTGGGCTCAGAAAAATGGAGATAGGCTGGGCCGAGGCCAAGAGCTCCTGTCCCTGAAACCCCAGGGAAGCCAGGCGAAGATACCAGCAGGACTAGGGACTCAGCTGTGACAACTCACAAAGCTATCAGATGTTTGTACAGGTGATGGTTCAGGTCTGCCATCCACCCCAACTGCCTGTGCTTTGCCAGCACAGAAGAGCAGCCCCACCCCTACCCCCAGGACCTCAGAAACACCAACCTGTCCCATCGTTCTCTCTCTCTGCCCCTATCTGGTTCCATACTAGGTTCCCTGAGCCAGTCAGAGCCTCCCTGCAGAGACCGCAGTGAAGTCGGAGCCTTCCCCGGGACTCCCTCCCGGGCCTTCCAGTGACTTCTGACAAAGGTAGGGTTGATCAGCTGAGGACAAACCTGCCCTTCAGGCGGATGTGTGCCACACACGGCTTTGAACAAGCAGTTCCAGTTCCCAGGCCCTCGGGAGCCCTCAGGGAATCGGCTCTCTTGCAGTCCTGCAGCCTCAGGCTCTTCCCCCCTGCTGTGTGCCCCCCCCCCCAACAAGGGCTCATCTGACCAGACCCCACTTGTCTCCTGAGGTTCCAGCGCTGGAACCCATTCAATGGGCACAGCTTCTAGTTGGCAATTTTTCATTTGTTTCCTCTGGCCCCCTGAAAAGCACTGCCTTCCTGACACCTGCCCAGCACTAGGACTTTTGAACCAATAACCATAAACATTGGTGGCCACCCTCTGGGAGCAGGACTCCAAGAATTAAAACACAAATCCTTTCACCCAGTTGTTCTAATTTGAAGACCTTAGACTAAGGAAATGACGATAACCCTAAGAGATTTTACAATAGGGCAGAAACCTACATGGCTCCAAGCTGGGCATACAGAAGAGGGTGTAACAAAGCCTCTGCCTTCATTATTTCTATCTCCAGCCCCCACAGCAACCACAGGGCAGGGAATCCCATCTCTGAGCCTGGTGGCTGTATGACCCCCCCACACACACACCCCTGCCGCACCCCTCAAGGAAATAGACCCACCATACTGGGATCAAAGCCAGAGACTTACAGCACTGCGTGGTAATGCGGGGAGTCTGCCGTGGGCTTCCCCAGCTGCCAGGTACATCTGCTCGGGGTATCGGGTGGAATCCATACGCGTTCCTTGTCCACTGAGGGGCCCTTCTCCCGGTGCGCTTTCCCTGAGTGCCCCTCCAAGTGCTGGGGGCACCCTGCAGAGCCGCCTTCACACTGCGATGTCCCTGAAGGCATGCTGGGATCCGGAGAAGGAGCAGAGATCTGTGGGTTTAGAGGTTGGCTCATTTGTCCCCTCTGGGACTGGGGCTCCACTCACAGGGATGGGAGAAAAGGGGCAGGTTCCAGCTGATGTGGAAAATAGTTATGATGTTCCCCTCAGAAAGTTAAACATAAACTACCATACGACCCAGCAATTCAATCCCAAGGCAGAGGTAAAAAAAAAATGGAAATGAATATTTAGTGTGCCCATTTTCATGGCAGTTGAGAGCCATAAGATGGACATCACCCAAAGTCACTGATGAATGGCCCATCCATGCATCGGAATACTATCAGCCACAAAGAGGAATAGGTGGGTTGGGGGTGTGGTGCTGCACACCTTTAAATCCAGCACTTGGGAGGCAGAGGCAGGTGGATCTTCGTGAGCTCGAGGCCAGCCTGGTCTACAAAGTGAGTCCAGGACAGCCAGGGCTGTTACACAGAGAAACCCTGTCTCGAAACTCCCCGCCCCCCCCAAAAAAAAGAGGACTAGATGGGGTCTGTAGAGATGGTTCATCAGTTAAAAGTGCTTGCTTTTTAATCATGAGGACTAGAGTTCAGATCTTAGCACACACAAATAAATAAACCCTTAAAAAAAAAAAGGAATAAACTAATTCTGAAGACAGAACATTAAATGAAAGAAACCAATCATAAGACAAATTTCACTTATACAAAATGCCCAGAATAATCGAACATCTTATGATTTGACATTTATGAGGGACTCAGAACAGGCAAACCAATTGGAACATAGCACAGAGGGCATCAACTGAGTGAGTACAGGGAGTAGTTATTTAACACACAGGGGCTTTTGGGGTGATGAAAAAACATGAGTCTGGTCCTATTATTTTCTTTCTGTAACTGTGACGAGAAGATGAAAAGATAGGGACCAAAAGCAACTGAGGGGAGGAAGGATTTGTTTCAATTACAGATCCAGGAAGTCAGGAAAAAAGCTTTAACAGCTAGTTACACTATTTCCACAGTCAAGAGCCTGGAGAAACAAATGCACCTTTCATCACCAAGCCTTCTCCAGGACTCCCGGTGGATTGGTTCCTCCCACATCAATCAAGTCATAACAATTCCCTACAGACGTGCCCCCAGGCCAATCTGATCTAGGCAGTCCCTTTGTTTAGACCCCTTATCAGGTGACTCTAAACTATGTGGAGCTGACATTTAACAGCAGCCAAAACCTTGTAGAGACAGCGATAGCAGTTGCACAATACAGTGAATAAAGCGATAAGATACCAACCATTTCTGCACTTCAGACTAAGCTGCAGATTGAAATTTTTCAGAGGCTGGATGTATAGTTTGGTGGAAGAGGATGTGGTGGCTGTGACGTGCCAGGTCTTTGGTTATGTGCACATAACACGGACACATTTTCTTGAAGAATACAGCATCATAGCTGCTTTTTTTTTAAAAAAAGCTGAGTGTCAGGGTGCACCCTTTAATCCAGGAGGCAAAGGCAGGTGACTCTCTGGGAGTTCAAGGCCAGCTTGGTCTACATAGTAAGTTCCAGGACAGCCAGGGCTATGTAGAGACCCTGACTCAAACAAGCAAACAGAAATGTAGATTTACTAATATGTGTGAGTGTTTTGCCTGCATGTATGCATGCGCACCATGCGTGTGCCGTACTGCTCTTGGAGGCCAGGAGAGGCTCAGATCCCCTGGAGCGGGAGTCACAGATGATTGTGAGCTGCTAGGACCTTCTGCAAGGGCTCTTAACCACTGAGCCACCTCTCCAGATCCCCAGACTTCCGTCTGCACAGCATGCCCACCATCCTTGGTGTTGTAAGTAATCTAGTAATCTGAGGGTTGTGGGAGGGTTCATGGGGGTTATATGGAAGAATGGCCATGTGGGGCCACCCTCCATGGGCTTGGGAGAAAAGACCACCGTTATGCTAAACCTATTTAATCAACCCGCAGTTCACCATAAAGAACAGAGCCAGGCAGGTGGCACACACCTGTCATCCCAGGAGGTGGAAGCAGGAGATCAGAAGTTCAAGGCCAGCCTGGGTTACATGAAATTCTGTACAAGGAAGGGCTGGAATAAACCTCCTCTGTAAAACACGGTAGAAACGGACAGTGGGTACCCTTGAAGTGTGCTGTAGGCACCAAGGACTGAGCAGAAAGCCACAGAGACCCCACTCCAGCAGAAGATCGTAACATAGATGCAACAGTGCCTAGGAGACGGGCCCGAGGCCAGCGGGAGTCTGGAGTTCAGTCTTAACCTGTGCTGAATATACGGTTAAGGAAGGAGAGGACGAGGGGCGGGACCGAGCACTCCCAGATGAAGTCCCAGCCCTGGCAGTCCCGGTCCTACCTTAACCTTTCCCTTTCAGAGGGGGGATGGGAGAGGGTGGAGCACCAGCGGGCTGCAACTCACACCAAAACGGCGAGCGCCCGGGGGGAGGGGGGAGGAGGCGCGGCCTAGGCAGGTGCTTCTCTCCTTCCTCCCAAGACCCCTCTCTGGAGCGTCCTCTTGCTGGGCGCCCCCACCTCCAGCGTCCCCTCCCCCTCCACGCGGATCCCTCTAGAAAGCTGTGCAGGCGCTGGTCCCTCAAAGTAGTCTACCGAACAGGAAGCCACCGAGCAACCCGAACCCAAACTTGGCGAGCGTGCCCAGGGCCGTCCCGCGTCCCTCCCAGCCCACACCGAAGAAGCCCCATCTTCCAGTGGGGTTTCCCTCGGGCTGTCGAGTTCCCGCACAGGCCGGCCGGCCCGCTCGACCTTCGCAAGCGGTAGCTGGGGATCGCGCGTGGCAGTGAGGCCGGGAAACCCTCCGCAAGTGGCAGGTTGTGCACCCCTGGGTCTCGCGCCACCCCGCCCCCACCCCACCCCCGTTAGGCCCCGCACAAGGCGCAGAACCTGCCCTCCCGCGCCGCAGCCGCCCGGCGCGCCGCTGCTTCAATGTTTACCCCACCCGACACCAGGGCCCGAGAGAACAATTTGCGAAACAGCGGTCTCCATCCAAAACAGGGAAAATCGATGACCGGTACCGGGGCAGCGTGTCACCCTAGGACCCAGCTCCACGCCTGTGAGACTCGAGGCCGTGGGGTCCGGCGCCACGTGGGTGTGGGCGCCCAGCGTTAGGGCTGCGGGGAGGGCGATGCTGGCGCGAAGGGGGCGCGGGGCGCGGGTCTCCGCGGGAGGGCAGGAAGCTCCCCGTGGGACCACGGGAACCCCCGCGACCCGGGCGCCGAGCTTGCGAGCTGGCCCAATTCTGCGCGTCCAGGCGCAGCGGAAGCCAAGTCCGCGCGCGCGGGGATGAGGAGCGCCCGCGGGCCACGGAACCCCGGCGGGGACCGGGACGTGTGCGCCGCGTGGACGTCACGGCGGCCAGAACTTACCTGCACTGAGACTCGGAAACAAGGTGCGGGCAGGGCTGGGCCGGAGTGCGCGCACGGACTGGACCACCGCTCTGATGGGGACCCGGGGGCTGGCCGGCGGTCTAGCACCAACCCGGCCGCCCACAGCAGGCGCAGGCGATTGGCCGGGCGGCGGGGGGCGGAGGGCCGGCACCCGCCAATCCCCGGCCGCAGAGAGGGCCACCCGCCCGCCCCACCCCCACACGCCCCTTCCCCTCCCCACCCCCACTCTGGCTCCATCAGTGGCCCCCTGGACGCCCCACCTCCACACTGGGATGTTTCCTTGCTCTTTGAGAGTTCAGGGGGATGCACTGGAGAGGCTCTAGCGTCCAACGAACTGGAGGGGCCCCAGGTCGGTGCTCAGAGGTCTACACAGCCTGGCCGAGTGTCAGGGAGCCTCGTTTCCCACGACCCGGCTCGCTCGAGGACGTGCCTCGCCTCGTGGGGTTTCCCGGCTTGGCACGCCTGCGTCACACGCATCGCTGCTCTGAAGGGCAGGAGTTTGACGCTCACAGGAAAGAGCCCGCAAGTCTCCTAAGCCGCGGGCCTGGGTTAGTGGTACCATTGCAAGGGCTCCCCCCCCCCCCCCCCCGTACCAACATCCGGAGGAGGTTAAAATGAGCCTTTTGGTGCATGTCTAGAATCCGAGCATTTGGAGCAGGGTCCAGGGAGGAGGATCTCAAGTTTGAGTTCGAGGCCAACCTGGCTACATCCTTACATCCTTCTGGGGGGAAAAAAAGCAAACACCTAAATAAAAGGACTGATTTTGACGAGTCTCACCCTGTGGCTGTGCAGGGGACTTCAGTTTTATTTATTTATTTTGTTTTTTTCTTGAAACAGGGTTTTTCTGGGTAACCCTACCTGTCCTGGAACTCTGTAGACCAGGCTGGCCTTGAACTCAAAGATTTGCTTGCCTCTACCACCTGAGTGCTGAGATTAATGGCGTGCGCTCCTTTTATTTTTGCTTTTTAATTTTTTTTTTTGTGAGCTGGTGGCGGCGGCGGCGGCACACACCTTTAATCCCAAAGGAAGTGCTAGGGAACCTCTGTCAGAGCAGCAAGCGCTCTTCACTGACGAACTCCAGCCCTGTCTTTAGCTTGCTGAGACATGCAGACCTCCAACTCCTTCCTCCCCAGAGCTGAGATTGCAGATCTGGGTTCTCATGCACAGCCGAAGGCCACATCTGATTAGAGGGGCCATTTCTTGTTCCAGGAAGAAATCTGGGCTGGTGCGTGTGTAAGTGCCTGGAGCAAGAGCCAAAAAAGGTGGGTCTGAGCAGCCGGGTGCCAACACTGAAGGAGCCTGGAGAAGGGGGGAAGGGTGGAGCTTGAGGCTAGAGATCCTGACACCAGCGTGAGAGAGTGAGGCTGTTAGGGCGCTGGATAGCACTCGGAGTTGGAGTTGGAGTTGGAGTTGTTTTGCCTTCCGGTAGAACTTACCCTGTCGTAGCAAGGGCAACAACACTAACGGGAATTACTGGGGAACTTCCTGAATGTCTGGCCATATACAGAAATCCAGGTCTTAGGGGATGTGATCTGTGCTGGTGCCTTAAACCCACAGGCACAGGTGTCCTTGAGAGAAGATGAGACTGTGAATGGAGAAACAGTCCTCTGCAGGTATGCCCTGGAGTCACAGCAGACAGACACACGAACAGCCGAGCAGCCGGGACTGCTTGCCCGTGACTGGCTGCCACCTCCAGCAAAGAGAAGGACGACAGAAGAAGCCTCCTCCCCAAATCTTCAGTAGCTGGCACCCCCCATCCCATAGTCCAGTTTGTACTTCTGCCCCATGCAAGTATTTTCAAGTTTTAAATCAAGTTTCTGACAACTTGTATAGCATCTCGTTTTATTTACAATTGAGAAATCTGACCTAATTTCAGACTGCCAGAAAAGTGGCAGGAGGAGTGAGAAGAAGGAGAAGAAGAAGGAGAAGAAGAAGAAATGCTAGGAGACTTTCATACAGACTTTCCCATTGCTCTTCTCTCTCTCTCTCTCTCTCTCTCTCTCACACACACACACACACACTCACCATCTGAGTTGTTACAGGTGAGACATTGTCCTAGTTTGATCTCTGTTGCTGTGATAAAAAAAAAAAAAAAAAAAAAACAAAAAAAACCAGAGCAAAGCAACATGGGGAAGAATACTTTGAATGGCTGCTAACAGTCCTCTGTGAAGGAAATCAGGGCAGGAACTCCAGGCAGAAACCCGGATGTAGGAACCGAAGCAGAGACCATGCAGGGGTGCTGCTTCCTGGCTTCTTTCTGGCTGGCTCAGCCCTCTTTCTTACAGCAACCAGGACCACCCGCCCAGGGCCAGCATCACCCACAATGGGCTGGGTCCACCCACATCTGTCATCAATCCAGAAAATTCCCCCCCAGGCCTGCCTACAGGCAAGTTGGATGGAGGCATTTTCTCATTTGGGCCTCCTTCTTCTCAGATGACTCTGGATATCATCAAACTGACGAAACGCTAGCCCTCACACTCATCCTTTCGTCTCAATACTTGAGTAGTTCCTAAAAAGCAGGACTGCTTTCCACAAGGCACCTGTCAAATCAGGAGCTTAACATGGTCACGCTCCGACGGTTGCCTGTTTGCCAGTGCCCCCAACATTGCCCTCTGCCTAGCCTCTCGGTTTGTGCCTCCCCCAACCCTTCTTTAAAAATCTGGGGCAGTTTCAAGGTTACTTTCTATTTGAAGAACAGGAGCATTTTTGAAGTGCCTAGGACTGACATTTTGTAGAACATCTATTGATTTTGATTTGTGTGCTCTTGCCGACTCTGGGCCAGATCCAGGGCATGACACACTCTGCCAGAAGGCCACGAAAGGGATGCTGAGTTTATGCCCACAGTCTCCATCTGGGCCTGTTTTGTCTCCTTGCTGATGCTAACTTCTCATTTTGTTTTCAACAAGATTTCCAGACCCACCTCACATTCATTTTATAGCCAGTGGTGACCTTGAACTTTTGATCCTATCTCCACCTCCTGAGTTCTGGGTTGATGGTTTATATGGCCAAGCTTCATGCATGCTTGGCCAGCATGCTGTCAACTGGGCTCCATGTCCACGGCTGGGGCAATCTGCCCCTCTATCTCCTTGAGAAGTGGGGAGACTTGGTAACCATGGAGATACCTTGGTCTTTCACATATCAACGCTGTATCACTTTTATTGACAGTGTCACCAAATGGCACTTCAAACTACATTGTTCTTTCTACATTAATCATTGGCCCTTACCTGGTAAGAGTTGTCCTCCCTCATGGGTCATTGATTGTATATTTTCTGTCTCTGGCTTAGACAGAGACCCTGCACGCCTTTGACCCCAGCACTTGGGAGATCCCAGAGGCAGGCAGATCTCTGAGTTCAAGGCCAGCCTGGTTTGCAGAGAGTCAGAGCTACTCAGACACTATCGCAAAGAGATCTCGCTCAGTTCTAACCGCTGCTGAGACCACTTTGCAGGCGAATCCTGAGCGGAGACCATGAAGATGGGCAGGACCACGCCTTGGCCAGACTTTTTAGCTGTGTGCGCACCTCTGGCCTCTGTCGACACGACTGCCCTGGGTGCACACGTCCCATAAGCGGTAAAGAGCCAGATGCAGCTGTGTGGAGCAGATCTATCAAGTCTGGGGACTCACGCCTAGAGGCTTCTTGACCAGCTAGCCTGGAGTGCCTAGAAACAAGAGACCCTGCCCCAGCAAGGCACACCAGAGGAGACCCGCATCTTCGGGGTGGAAGGCAGGGACCAACTCCTGAAAACTGTCTTTGAATCTCCACACGTGGGCCATAGTATATGCACTCTCACATGCAATAATTAATCAAAACAAAATGCTCATGTTGGGGTCCCCTGAAGGTGGACTGGGGGCGGGTCACTGAGCTTCTTTGATCCTCTTTCCTAGGTGGCTACATTGAATAAATCCCTGTTTCTATTTTTCACTATTATTTTTAAATCAATCAATTAATTACTTTTTTTGTTCGTTTGTTTTTTTGTAGACAGAGTTTCTCTGTGTAGCCTTGGCTGTCCTGGACTCATTCTGTAGACCAGGCTGGCCTCGAACTCACAGAGATGCACCTGCCTCTGATTTCCTGAGTGCTGGGATTAAAGGTTTGTGCCACCACTGCTCGGCTTTAACTTTACGTGTCTATGGGTTATGCCAGGTCTCTCGGACCCCAAAGACCACCAAGGAGCCCATTCTGATGCAAACGCAGTAGGGTTTTATTACAAGCTTGACCTCGGGCCCACACTGACTGTCACCAACGCAGTGGTGTGGAGTGTAGAGCCCCAAGCTCAGGGGGAGGAGGGTTTTCCTTGTTTTACAGTGAGGCTTGGGAAATTACAGCTTAGCAGTTACACAACTTGTGTAACATTCAGCAAGTGACGTTCAGCAAGGGCAAGCTTGTTACACGGTGATTGTGGCTAACATTGAGTAAGCTCTCTACCAAAGACCTCAGGAATGATAGGTATTTCCATGCCATGAAAGTTCTACTACCAGGTCGGGTGGGCTGCCCAGCACAGATGCCCCACCCTGAGATAAGATACCTTCCCATTCTTGTGGTTACCTCCAGACTATTCCTTGGGTAGGGAATTTTATGGCCTAGTTCCTAAGACTAGTAACTTTTGGGGTGGGGGATCAGGCCTGGTTCTCTCGTATGTATGTATGTATGTATGTATGTATGTATGTATGTATGTATGTATGTATTTTTTTCGAGACCGGATTAAAAATTTGCACCACCACTGCCCAGCTTTAATTTTATTTATTTATTTTGAGTCAGGCTTTCTCTGTGTAACAGCCCTCGCTGTCTGGATTTGTAGACCAGGCTGTCCTCGAACTTAGAAAGAGCCATCTGCCTCTGCTTCCCTGAGTGTTGGGATTACAGGCATGAACCACTGTGCCCAGCTTTTAATTTAATTCTTTAAAAAAGATTTGTTTAATGTATATGAGTACTGTGTTTGCGTGTACACCTGCATTCCAGAAGAGGGCATCAGATCGCATTATAGAAGGTTGTAAGCCGCTCGCTGTGTGGTGGCTGGGAATTGAAGTCAAGACCTCTGGAAGAGCAATGTTCTTAAAGGCTGAGCCATCTCTCCAGCTCCCTTAATTTTATTTTTAATTGCCTATTTATTTGTTTGAGCTTGGACCCCAGACCTCCAGACTTAAAGTGCTTCACCAATCGAGCCAACGGAGGCCTCTAGCCCTAGTTATTTGTAATCAGCCTTACTAGTTCTGGAGGTGCTGTCTCCTGTCTGGGTCCTTATGCTGTCTAGGCTCCTTCACAGAAATCTGAAAGCTACTTTTGCTAAAAACAAAACAATAAAAGCAAAACAACCTTTTACTTGAACCTACAGATACCTGCTGGGTGATTGAAAGGGGACAAAAGGCTTGATGTGTCCTGTGCAGAGTCAGCTTCTGACTGGAGCTGAGGTGACAATTCCCCGTTCTGTGCGCAATCCTAAAACGAGCTAAGCTTGGGATAGTCCCTGTTGGAGAAGATATTTGTTTTCTCTGTCCATCTGCATTAGCCGCTTTTCTTCTGAAAAAAGTTTGAAAAAAGTTCCTCCTGGTTGGAGAAGGTACAGTGGCAGGTACATAGCAGTGGGAATATGAAGCTCACAGGTCAGAGAACACAGGAAGCTGAGAGTTCAGCCAGAAGCCATATTGCCTCCAGAAATAGCTCTACCTCCTCCACTGAGGCAGGTTCTAAGTCTTCTGAAACAGCAGTAGCCAGAGACAGTGTTCAAACACGTGAGCGGGCAGTGTTTCAGACCTTAACATCACTCTTGACATGTTTGTCGATGGCATCTGTGGCTGGCAACTCCAGAGACCGGGGAAATGGTAGTTCTAGGTGCTGGCAGGCTTTATGCCTAATGAGGGGGCTGGTCTCAGCTTCCATGTTGGCACCTTGTCACAACTTCTCCAGGACTGAACTGTCCCTAGCTCAGGGGAAGGGAGGCCATGGCCATCGACCTGGTGCCTTTTTTTTCCTCTCAGGAAGGCTTGGTTTGTTAAATAGGTTGTAACACCTACTGTCATCATTTTCATGGGAAATGGTACCAATCAAGAACTGTGACAACATATTCACTGACAACTTGAGATGAGGATTACGTATATAGATTGGGTTAATCAAGGTGTGGAGACCCGCCCTAAACATGGGCTGTGGGCTGTGATCTCTGAGGGAATAAAAAGAAGTGAGCTGAGCACCAGCAGTCAGTCTCTGCTTCCTCAAAGTAGGCACACTGGATCAAGCACCCCATACTCCCGGCACCATGTCTCTCACGCCACCATAGCTGGCAAAATACACCCATCCTTAACAAGGCTTCAAGACACTGCTAATGCCATTTTGGCTTATACTGCAGACTCAGCTGTCTGGAGCAGTGGTTCTCACTCTATTAATGCTGCGACCTTGTAATACAGCTCCTCACAGCTTTTGGTTTTTGGAGACGGGGTTTCTCTTTGTAGCTTTGGCTGTCCTGGACGCTTTGTAGACCAGACCAGGGTGGCCTTGAACTCAGCGTCCCGTGTGCAGGGTAGGATTATAGGTGTGTGCCACCTCACCTGGCTCGGCTCATGTTGCAGTGACCCCGAACATGAAATTCTTTTTGTTGCTGTTCATGTGACTGTAACTGTTATGAATCATAATGTAAATACTGTGCTTTCTGACGGTCTCTGGCAATCTCTATGAAAGGACCAACCCCCAAAGAGGGTTGTGAGCCAGGGATTGAGAACTACTTGTCTAGAACATAACTCACAGAGCAGCTTCTACACAGCCTCTTCAGATTCCCGTCAAGTGAATCTTCAGCATCACCTCAGGCACCAACTGTATCCCTGAGACACCCTGGGGAAGTGTACCTTCTGACCCACGTCCTCCCACCCCAAGGGCAATGTTCTGAACACGTGGGAGTGACCGGACACTTACTGGAGCGACCCTTGGGACACTCAGTGGTTTCTTGCCCAGGGTGAAGAGCCGTCAGGATGCAACATGTGAACTCCCAGACGCAGTTGTCACTCAGGGTGACGTCTGATTCAGGCCTGGCATTGAGGTGCGGCATGGCCACAGTATGTCAACTATCAGTATCTAAACAGGCGGCGGCGGCAGCAGCAGCAGCAGCAGCAGCACCCTGGCTCACAGCACATGTGGTTTAGGGCAAGAAATAGCACACAAAGGCCTTGGACAATGGCGACTGCTGATGGACTCCGTGGCTGTAGTACTGGGCATTTTGCATCATTTCCTGGGCATGTGAAGACACAGCAGCCACCCTGCTACACCAGGGGCGTTCCTTTCAAAGGCATTGCCATTGAAGCCCAGCCAGAAGCCACAAGGTCATGTGAGCCTATTGGTCCTATGACCCCACAGGTCCCTGTGCTGCACCTCACCCCCAGACATGCTCTCTTGCAAACATGCATGGCCTGATGCTTGGTGCTCAAGTATTGTTGGACACTGGCTCACTGGCTGTGGCAAGCAGAGAAAGGTAGAGACCCCACAAGCCTTGAGAAGAAACTCCTGGTCACTAAGGACAATAGAGCAGCTGGCTTTCCTTACAAAGCTACCCTCCTGCTCTGATTTTTATGCCCTAAACGTAATATTTTGTTTATACCAAATGGTATGAATTTACCTTAATGACATGGGACTAGCACTTTTAGAAAAGAGATTGCAGACAAAGATTTTAAAGTCACTCCAATACTGTATCACTACAAATTTTATTCAGAAACCCATCTTTGTTTATTTTTGTTGTTTTTTTTTTAAAAAAAATCCCATTATGAACTGGCTTGTCAACCAACTACAACACTGTCTAGCAGACACACAGTAAAAACAGCTCGGCTCAGAATCGCCCAGATCTTTCCCTGTCTCTCGACCGCCTCCTGTCACGCTCTCGTCCTCCACCACCTCCACCTCCACCGCCGCCACCACGCCCACGGTCTCTGGACCTGGAACGCCGCTCCCGGGATCGAGACCTGGATCTATGCCTGGATCAAGGACAAAAAAAAAAAAAAAAAAAAAAAAAAAAAAAAGCATCAGAAGCAGAGCATAGACAGACAGCTCCGACTGCAGGAGTGACACATGCAGCCAGTGACTTATAAGCCCCAACTATAAAATGCACCAATTTTAGATGCTATCTTCAGGAAGGATGCACCTTCAAAGTGAACAGATGTGGTACACTTGGTATTCTATAGCTTTCAGAACCAACCCAACGACGTGGGAGATCAGCACAAGACAGATGCAGGCAGCAGACGGAAGTCACCTGCTGACCCGCCAGCACTGCTCCTCTCCCCCTGATCTATTCCTTAGGACTTGCTAGGCAGTCTATCAGGCCAATTTTTAGGATGGGAGAGTTGCTATTTGCTGACAATAAAAACAATCCCAATACTGCCTACTTCCTGAGCTATGTGTAAGGAGAGGAAGAGAACCATCTAGAATCAGTGAACTCACCTGACTCATCCTGACCCCTGCTGTGATGCAAGGCCAGGAAAACAAGAGCAGTACAGCGGGATGGCCCTAGTGCCAGGGAACCCCACCCTGTTCCCAATGCAGGAAAAACCAGACAACAGGCACACAAGATTCTAGCAGGCACCGCAGTTCTGGAACACAGGTGTCTCTCTGTACAGCAGGGGCGGGCTTCTCCCAGGTATTTTGTATTTAAAATAATGCACCAAGATCTAAGCAGACATCTTAGCGGACACTCAGTCCCAGGCCTGGTTTTCCTTCGGCACTGGGGGACCCTCCCACTTCACCATACACCCAGAGGACTCACTTCTTGCGCCGGCGCCCATACAGCTCCCTTCGTAGCTCTCTCGAGATCGGCTTCAGATGCATGAAGTTGCAGAAGCCCCCTCTTGTGCACTCTCTGTGGATCAGATCCAGACATGTGAATTACACTGTGCCATGCTGACTGCACTCCGCACATACTAGAGGCGCTCATCCTTACTCACCCCATTTCGTACTGGCGGCAGCAGGCTTCCCTGAAGTCAGTCACTGGGGACAGTTCTGCATGGATCGGCTGCCCATTAAACCAACGGTTATTCAAGTCGATCACAGCTTTCTCTGCATCCTCCTCACGTCGAAACTGAAAAGGTAAAACAAAGTGTTCACCCCTCTGCTCCTGTGGTGCTAATGAATTATTCTCTGCCCCACTACTGTCACACACATCCACTGAGGCAGAAAACTTATGGAATGACAATCCTTACGATGGACCCCAGGACGGCCTAGTGCTGCCCTCTGTTTTAAATCCATTCCCTGAAGAGCTCAGCCCCCCAAGTGTTACTTCAGAAAAGGAAACAAAGTATACAGACTAATCATGCCAGTCCAAGCAGCTTCCACCCTAGCTAGGACTTCTCACTCAAGGACCAGCTGCCAGGATGACAACCCACAGCCGCCATGTCTGTACCTTGACATACACGTTCCCCACCAGGTGGTCTCCTAGGTTGTCACAGACGTTCATCTCTTCAACCTCCCCATACTTTTCTTCCATTTCAGTGAAGACTTCCTGAAGGGGAATACGGGCTGATGAACACTGCGCACAGCCCCATAGTTCACTGGCCACCCTCCCATCTTGCACCCTGGCGCTTACCTCAAAGAACTCATCATAGTGCTCCTGCATCTCCACATCACTCACAGCACCTGCAGTCAAAGACACCCAGCTGGTGAGAGCCCTGTCGCCTCACTGTCCTCAAGCTCAACTGCTACAGTGACTGTCTAGAGGACGCCAGGCCAGAGCTGCATGCTACAGGAGCACCGACTTGCTTGTGCCTTGAGTTGCTGAGATCTTAAATGCCCACCACCTCAGTCCTGGCTACCAAAACCAGTCAGCTTTAGTTGGTACCAAAAGGCCACACAAAGGTCAAGGAAAAAGGTGACTCTTAGATTAAGACGTTTTAAAAACAAAAATGTATTCCTTAAGACTGGAGGCCAGGTTAAGTACACTGATTTCCCCTTTATTAGGTCAAAATGGAAGCCGAAACCAGGGTGAGTGATCAAGAGCTCATGTGCCTTTATACACTGCTAATCATCGAATGCTAGAAAATGCTTTCTGATGCGACTAAAAGCAATGTCGCCAGACTTCAGCACTTTGGATGTCTCGTTATAAAGACACTGACCTTGATGAAGGTGCTCTCAACCTCTACACCAAGCTTACTCTGTTGGTCACATGAAGTAAGTGAAGTCATGGCTATTCAGGAGCACTTTTGCCCAGCCTCAGTCTATCCCAGCAACCACCACCTCAACCCCAATCCAAGATACCATAAAACAGATGCTTGAAGAGCTGGCTAGGGCCTGTCAGAATCTGGATTGTTTGCCAGGCTGGGCCTTTGACTGACCCCTTCTGTGAGCCATATTCATGGGCAAGGGGAGAGCTCAAAGGCTCACCTGCCTCTTTTGGTGCACCCCTCCAAGGGCATGTAGTGAGGCATGGGGCAGTGTCTTCCGGTACCTGAAACTAAGAGCTAACCTACGTTCTGATTGCGACAGCTTCAGCTCCCTTCTCACCTATCTTGGGTTGTTTGAGCTATTTTGAATTTACAGAAAATGAGTTGGCCTGAAAACCCAAATGTTACAGGATGCACCAGGTTCTCTTGACAGGAGCCTGTCCTGGATGTGGTACCTGACCAAATCTTCAAGGGTGGCCGGGCCTGCCTGAAGGAACAAGTCATAGGCAACAGCAAAAGGTTAAGAAGCCTGCTCCACAGGCAGACTGCAGCAGCTAAAGTCAAGGCCTTCTGCATTCAGATAGAACATACCCCCAGGCTCAAAGCTGAGTTTTAACAGCTCTGAAAACCTTTGGTGGTGGTTTTAGGACTGACTCTGTGCTTACTCTGCTCCAGTTCCCATTAGTCAAAAGGACACAAAGGCTAACTGAGACCAGCACAGCGACACTGATCAGACAGAACACCAGGTGGGCTCAGTACATTTTAAGTACTCAACTTAGAAAAGGACTCTCCTGATAGAAAATACTATTCTTAAAATTGAGATTCATATTTCACTTTGTATATATAAACTGTATTTCTCTACACCGAGGTGGTAACTAACTTACTCTAAAATGAAGTCAGTTTCATTTACTTTTTACAATCTGGACCCCAGGACTGGAAGATTTAAGAACTGAAAATTGTTTACAGTACACTTCAAAACACACTGTGAATTGCAAATAGAGACAGCAAACACAACATCCTGTCAGTAAAGCAGAGTCCCCAAGTGAACAACCAGGCAATGAAGAACAGTCACTGTTACCAATCACCTGTTTCCCATTTGCTTGTAACCCAGGGCAGGAACATGAACAAACATTACTTAATAAAGCCACACAAACATTTCCCTTCTCCTACAGACCTTATTTCTAAACATGGAAAAATAAAGCCATATATTTAAACCAGAGATTGATTGCCAGGTGAACACTATCTCAACTTAGAGATGCTCTATTGTTAGGTCAGGGTCAGCATCACAAAATACCCAGCACTTCAGGGAAAACACATGGAAATCTCGATCTACACCGGCACTTGCACCAGAGGCTCTCAGCCTGGCCAGCTGCAGCAGGCAGTGGCCTTGGGACCATTTATTTACCCAGGGTAGGCCAACCAAGAGATGGAGGTTGGGGTCAGGGGTGTCCTGGATTTAGCCTGTGGCCACCCAAGGGGAGGTCTACCTTGGGTTTGGACATGACTTCATCCCAGTGTTCCACTGTAGAATAGTCATAACCTAAATACAGTAATTCCCAGCACATGAAGAAATCCGCAGTGAATGTTTGCTGATGCCAGTTTAAGCTGTTGCCCCATCGAGTACCCTCTATCACCAAATGCAGCTCGAGATGCTATCTGTGCAAAGTGGGTGACTGGAACTGAGCATCTCTTCTGCCAAGTGCTCATCTCTTAGCACACCTGCATGGTGGGCAGAACACTCGGGCCTGTGTGGGCCGCAGACCCTCACCTGGGAAACACTCAGAACAAGGTCCTCACATAAGAGCATGACCTCTGACATGCAGTTTGTGAAAAGGAGGCTAGTGGGCGATAAAATCTGAAAATGTCTAAGCAATTTGTACTGGAGTTCCAGAAAGCAAGAGCCGTTCAGATGCTGCTGCTCTTCAGAGGGAAGAGCAGACCTCGAACTCAATCCCAGTGCATCCCAGGGTGACGGTCCAAGTGCGGAGGGAGCAAAGAGCAGCAAGTCCCAACTATTTCAGGGGTGCCCTTGCCAGTCACTGTCATCCTGACTAAGGGACAGGAGTTCAAATCTCCAGCAGGTCAGTGGGGACAACAGCTCCTGCCACCTCTAGGAACGCAGGCGGCTCTTGACACTAGCACAGCAGACCAGGTGGAGTGGACACTGAGCTCTGACACGCAAGCCCAGGGAACCGGGGAAGGAACTTGTATGAACTTACAGCGCAAACCGTCAGCAGACTGGGAAGAGTTTTGAGGGTTACGGTAAATGTTCAAGAGGGCAATGGTCTGAAATACAAAACGCAACAACTTTATATTATGGAAATTGAATGTAAACACTTAACCGGCTGCCTGTGATGATCGCTTCAGTTGAGTCAGTGCTGAAAAGAGAGCAGGTTATTTCTCTAGAGCAGAAGTGTCCCCTTAGTTGGTGGCTGTCTTGAACTATGCTAACACTGCAGTGCTGGGAGATCTCATGAGATGCCAATATCGCACTTCTGCCCACAGCGGACTCTCCACTGCCAAGTGCCAGCCAAGCAAGGACGGCACTGGCTCTTAGCTGACAGAGACTGAAAGGGAAAGTGCTCACACCTGAGATGAACGAAGGGCTGTACCAGAGAAATACAATATCTCATGTCATGAAATCTCCACTTCCTAGAGGAAAAATTATAATGGTAAAATAAAATCCACACTTACTGGGCAACTTACCTTGTTGACTCCTTAATATTCCTATCATTTTAACTTTACAGAAAGAACTTAAGAAAGGCCAGGGTTCAGTCACAGTAAAAGCCAGCAATTGGCTACCCAGGTTAAAACCCACTTCATGTGGGCGGGCACGCTCGTGACAAACTTTAGTCAACAGGAGAGGCTGGCCAGTGACTTTCCCTAGGAGAAGCGCCTCCTGAGCGCTTGTGGCCCCTGTCAAGTTCTGGCTGTGCGCCACGCGGTTCCAGCACCGTGTCCTGTTTGCAACAGCTCTATGTCAGCAGCTCAGAGCCAGCGTTATGTCTCAATTAAGAGTGGGCTCTTGAACACCATCGTTTAAAAAAATTTCTCCAACTGTGGGACTTACAGTGTGAGCCGTCAGCCGTCTGTGCACTGTTTTGGGGATTACGATAGATGTTTTGAATCAAGATGGTCTGCGGGGAAAAAAAAATAAAAAGGGGAATTCTACTGGCTGCTGTGCATATATTAGACAATTGCAAAGAGACAGTTTGCAAACGGTTAACGTTTGTTGTTTTTCTCACAAGTCAGACACTTGTGTTGTGCAGAGTACACCAATACCATCATATTATGAAAACAGAGTTTGAGCAGTGACTTGGGTCAAGTCAGCCAGCAACCAAGAAGGAACTGTATCTGTTGTTTTGAGTGGTCCCCGTTATCAATAATAAAGTGCTTCAATACAAGATAAGAGAACACTAACATTTTCTTGTACTTCAAGCCAGCACACAACATGTTAAAAAGTCACATAATAATCATATTCCCCACACAGTTATCTCCCTTAACAAAATGCATACATCAAGCGTATGCAGTACTCAAGGTCTCTGGTCTCTGAGCAAAACAGCCACGCCAGTTGTCTCGGATACCTGACTCTTATTTACACTTTCTTGGTGGGTCTCTGTTTACATAATACAATAGTTAAAACATTTGCTCTTTTGCGATCCTTCTTTTAAGGAAAAAAATCCTTTTAGCCTTTGTGCTTTAAACGGGATCAGGCAGACTTGAAACCTTACACTGTACCGTTCTTCTTAAAATCAAGTTGTCTGAAAAAACAAACCATGTTTAAGTTAGTAAGCTAATATAGTACATCAATCTCACGTCCACATCACTCTAGTGCTTACAAAGAAACCCGCCCTGAATTACACTACAATTATGCTAGCCAATAAATAGACTGTGTGACCTACAGCACAGACGGCCTCTCAACAACTTGCTGTAAAGAAAGCAGTTCTAAGTGCTCTGCAGACCAGTAAGCTTGGTTCCAACTGTGCTCAAAGGGTACAGGGTAAGGAACAGTGTTTGGGAGACAGGCCTGCTGCTGGAACCCAACTGGGAGAAAGGCTGACATCAGACCACACACCCTGAACCACCAAGCTAAAGCGGCCAGCCCTCTACCATCCCGGGTCTACACCTTCAGAGGTTTCCCAGAGCTGACTTTACCCAGCTTTCTATTGGGAACAAGGTGGATGCTTGGTTCCTACAGGTCTCCCGGTACTGGGGCATACTGAGCTGTTCACCGCAGGGAAAGCAATGTAAAAAGGAAGCTAGTTACCTCTGACTACTCAACCAAACCCAACTGAGGTAATTATTGTAATGTTGAGCTCACTATATGGGGCCTGCTCTTCCCTACTTTGTTCTAGGCCACAGTGCTTAGAGCAGCTGAGGTAACCGTGGGGCAGCAAAGGCTTCTGGCTCCTAGAGGGCTGAGAACAGTCTCTCTGACCACCATCTCACATGCATGTTAACCAAGCACAAAGACACTGAAGGCATGCAGAGTCAGCAGGCTACAACCACCAGGTCAGGAAGGAGATTTTAATAGTCAGATAAACAACACTTGTAACACAGTTTAAAGCAGGTGCTCTAATAGTCTTAAAATTCACAAGAGAGGGACACTTTTAGAGTCATTAGAGGACAGATGCCTTCTAAACTAACACAGGGTAGTCAGGGATGTTAAAAAATGTACCTGCAGCTTAAAGACAGCTGTAAACAGGCTTGGACTGGAGATATGATAAACTCAACAGCTAAATTTAGACAGACTCAGGGAGACTTCCAATCTCCTGCCTCTATGGCTATCTTTTATTGTTAAGTTTCTATGATAATGATGCCTTGTGGTGTCAAACTGTGGACCTCTCCAGGGTATTAGAGCATGCTGGGTCTGCTGATAGACACCCATGCCAGCATGCCTTGCCCAGTGACTGTTATCACTACTGTCCGGTGAGCAGAAATCCCTCTGCATTCACTAGGAGGGTCTATCTGTAAGGGAGAGAAACAGGGTAGTGACCCTCAGCTTCAGCTAATATGCAACCATACTTTAAGAAGCAACTCTGAGGTTTAAGAACAGCAAGACTGCCCACTGGGGTGGGTCCGTCACCCTCTGCAACTAATGCAAAATAACACTAGAGGGAAAACATGACTGCTAGGTGCGTGGAAAGATTAATCGCCCCTGAAAGTGCAAGAACTTTTGATAATTTAAGTGAAAAGTAAATAAATAAAAAACAAAAACAAAAAGCCCAACCACACACAAACCTGGCTAAAGGTCGGCTTATTGTGCAACCGAGAACATCTGTCTCCGTGGCGACACGCTCCAATTTTGAAATAGAACGAACAGTTGACTCTGTAAGGGAGAATGAGAACCGATTATTTCTGGGAAGACGCGGCAGAAACAGCATTAACTCGATCCTATTTCCTAGCTACTTTTCTTCCACACCACAGGTTAGTTGGGCAGCTCTGGCTGACCGTGTTTCCTCTTGCACGCAGTATGTCCAGCTACCCACAGAGTGTTCTAATTCTAACCTGCTTCCTGCTACTTGGCCCCCTCTCTGTTTAATATTTTCTTTTCTTTTTAAAAAGACTGTCTGACTCTTTGGGTCCTGGATGCCACCTAAAAGAGAAGACAATGCTAACGAGGCACTGTTTCAAGAACCGAGTGAGATGTGTTTTTCCACATGCCTGTCATTATCTAAAGAAAACAGAAAAAAAAAAAAAAAAAAAAAAGTCTAGGCTTTCTCCAACTCATGTACCAAACCAAAAGGAAAGTTCCAAATTGGTCTAAAGCAAGCAGGTTTCACCTCAGTGCAAATGTGCTATTTGGAGACCCAGCCTGCCTTTGAAACTGCACAGGAGCAATTTACCTGCCACAAAGCCCCTTTAGTACTACTCAGATACTCCTTGGAGCCACAAGCAACCAAAACCATCAGGTGCTGGACAGTCTGCAAGATCTGTGATAATGAACTTTTACTGGATGTAGCTTCCCTATTCAGATGTTAGCTGCAGAGGCAGGAGTGCTGCCCCACAGACACTGTAAGCAAGAGCTACACACTTAATTCCTCACCCTGATGTAAAGACTGAATGTCTCAACCTCAATGAAATTTGGTGGACCATGAAGACCAGTCATTCCCCATGGATGCTTAGAAAGTGTGAATTTATCAGAGGAAACTAACTGCTAGTGATCTCCTTACTTTACACAACCTAACTTGATTAGATAATGTATTTTAGAAAATCAACAGAAGCCAGGCTTGGTGGCACATGCCTGTAATGCCAGTAGTCTGGGAGGCAGAGGCAGGAGGATCACTGTGAGTTCCACTCCAGGAGAGTCTACAAAGCCAACCCAGGACATCAAAGGCTACACAGAGAAACCCTGTCTTGAAAACAACAAAAGAAAATAAACAGAAAATGAAGAGTTTATGAATGCACCCTGGTGCTTATGAAAGCACCTTGGAATGGGCAGACTTCCTGCTGAAAACAGTCAAGGGTTCCACATGAAACAGTTCTCAAACCTGTACTCCCAGCAAACACTTTTGTTTTAGTCAATTATCTAAAATAACAAGGAAAGCCCTGTGTGGTGGTACACGCCTTTAATCGAAGCACTGGAAGGCAGAGGCAGGGGGATCAAAGTTTGATGCTAGCCTGGTCTACAAAGAGTTCAGGACACAGAGAAACCCTGTCTAGGTGGGGCAGCAAAAGGGTGATTTCTGCCCGACAAGCTGGGTCTAGAAAAACACAACTTATCCTTCTTAAAAAGCCCCGAACTTAATAGGCACCCCATGTTCTTGTTTCAGATGGCTGTTTTGCTGAAGTGACATAATTAACAGATTAAAACAATTTTCCCCCCCTTTTGACTAGTTTTCTGAAATGGCCCTTCACTACACAGATATCAGCACAGGGCCAGAATTACTATGGCCCAAATTCTGTTAAGCCCTAGCCGTTAGGTATTAATGCAGGGAAACCTCTCATGTCAGAACTGGCATACACACTTCACCATGTTCCAGGCCACCTTCTCTGTAACCTCAGAATTTAGAGATTGCAATCTTCCATAGCACCAAACAAATTTGCATGTCTCTAATAGTTCTGGCTATCCTGGAACTCACACAGATACACTTGCCTTGACCTCTGGAGTGCTGGGACTAAGTGTACCACCACACCTGGCTTTGAATGTTGGTTTTAAAGTACTTTAAAGGTTTTATTTTGAATTACCTATGTGTGGCTTGTAGGAGCATATACCTAAATGCAGGTGCCTGTGGTGGCCCGAGGCAATGGAACTCCCCAGATCTGGAGTTACAGGTGGTCGTGAGATGTCAGATTGCATGAAGTGGACTCAGGGAACCAAACTCCTCTCCAGACCCTTTAATGTATTTTAGTTATCCTTGACACAACACATACAGCCTTCCTCCATTTTATCCCATCTGATTCTCCAAGACTGGCTTAGATCTGACACCCAATAAAATGTTTTTTGAGTGACTGCTGATGTGGGCAGAAGACTTATAGAAACATTCCCTCTTTCTAACACAGTAGACTGAACAATAAGAAAGGTCCCTGATCAGACAGCCTCCAACCTGGAAAATAGAACATTTTCAACAGTGAGAATGTGGCACCAGAAATGTTATCTATTGCAAGTGCTTACCTTCACTGATGGCTGCAAAAACCTTATACAAGATATGGAAACACAAAAGATGGTGACTAGTTACTGAGACCAGATTAAGCCCGACACTTAATCTTTGTGTTTTCAAAGAGGGAATTATCCTTCAACGCGTCTGAATACATTTCCTTTGACCTAAGCTTCAGCTAACACACTGGAAATGAGTATGTGCCACATGGCATACAAATACAAGCAGAACTATTGTTATTTTTTTTTTCTTTTACCGTAACAGTTAGCTACGGATGCGCAAACCTCAATGCAAAAAGAAAAGCGGGCCCACCAACGTTCAGGCAGGCAGGCAGGTTTATTCTACCGGAACCGCTTCCAGTGATCAGCCCTAGCGACTGAGTACCAGGAGAGGATGGTAACCCAGCACTTCCAACACAACACTCAAAGCCCAAAGTTCCAAGGGACGGGTTAACTCGCCACAGAAGCCCGGGGCGGCGGCGGGAGCGCGGCGCGGAGCAGGGCCCTGCGTAGAACCCAGCGCGGAGCCCCGTGGAGCCCTAAGCGCCGAGGCCCAGCCCGAGCCGCCCGCCAGGTCCCGCCGCCCGGCCCACGAGGCTGTGGCCCCGAGCCGCGCGAGGCCGTCAGGGCCGAGTCACCCGCTACGCCTAGACGCCACCGCCGCTCGCCGGCACCCGTCGCCCGTCACCGCCCCTGCCCAAGTCCAGGCAGGCCGGTCCTACTCACTTGTCTTTCTCGGTGCCGAAGATGGAGGCCAAATATTCCGCCATTTTCCACCGGACGAGCCCGACACGGCAGCCGACGCCGCCGACTAAGTCGACGTCCGCAGGAGACGTCACCGGACGCGACGACGCTCTTCCCGCCCGTCGTAGCGCCGCCGTCCAATTGGGAGAGACGCTGCCTACGCGGGGGCTACGCGGGGGCGGGACGAAGAAGGCGCTGAGGCTCCGCCTTCCAGCCCTAGCGCCTGCGCACTCCTTGCCTCCCGGGCGGGTCCCGCGCGCAGCCCGGTGCTTGGGCTGAGTAGAGCCTTTCCGCGCGTGCTCAGCACCGCGGTTTCCCGCGCCCGCCGCTGGGACCGCGCCCTCTCTACCTTCTGCCCCGCCTGTCCTAGGCTTTCCACGGGTGCAGCTGTGGACAAGGGCTCTGTCCGGCCTTCGGGAGGAATTTAAACCTACAGTATCCCCACAGTCACCAGCTCACCTTCAAGTTACCGAATTTCCAGGCAGATCTCAGGCTGAGACCCAGGCTGTGGGAGTCATCTTGGTTTGATGACTTTGCTTGCTCTCTGTGGCTATAGAGCCTCTTCCACCCGAGGACAGGTGACACCAATTCCTGCTGGTGATCCTCCATGGCTCTCAAACCTCTGAGCACACAAGCATCTTTTCACTTTTTTTACGCAGGGTTTCTCTGTGTAGCCCTGGCTGTTCTGGAACTCGCTCTGTAAACCAGGCTGGCCTCGAACTCATAGACGCGCCTTCCTCTGCCCCTTGAGTGCCCCCTGGCTTTAAGTTATAATTTTTAATTACTTTTTTTTTTTTTTTTTTTTTTGGAGACATTCTCTTCATTATGTAGCTTTGGCTGGAACCCAAGATCTGTTGTTTGCCTCAGTGTCCCCAGTGCTGAGATTCCACCATCTAGCTTAAGAAGGGCTGGAAAACAGGGTGTGTTGTACCCATGCTTGGGAGCCAGAGACTGGTGGGTATGTAGGAGTTTAAGGGCTGGAGACGTCTACACAGAGACAGCCTTCAGAAGAGTGTTGGGAGTGATGCAAATGCTTGTTTAGCATTCGTAAAGTCCTAGTCTCAATCTCCAGTTTTGTGTTGTTCTGTTTTTAAAACAGAGATAAACGAAGCCGAGGGCGGTATCACACGGCCTTTGGCCTTTAATTTAATCCCAGCACTTGGGGAGGCAGAGGGTGGTGGATCTCTGTGAGTTCGAGGCCAGCCTGGTCTACAAAGTGAGTCCAGGACAGCCAAAGCTACACAGAGAAACCCTGTCTGGAAAAACCAGAGAGAGAAAGAGAGAGAGAGAGAGATAAGTGGAATTTATAAGTGCATGTGTGGGATATCTTTGCCAGTAATGGTGCTGGCAATGAGGATGCCACAACAAGCTACAGATAAATGAGCCTAGTGGTGGTGACACACCCTTTAATCCCAGCTTTTGAAAGACAGTGAGGCAGATATCTGTAAGTTCAAGATCAGCCTGGTCTATAAGAGTGAGTCCCAGGACAGCTAGGGCTTCACAGAGAAACCCTGTGTGGAAAAACAGAAGAAAGAAAGAAAGAAAAAGAAAGAGAGAGATAAACGGGATTTATAAGTGCATATGTGGGAATATCTTTGCCAGCAATGGCGCTGGCAATGAGGATGCCACCATATGCCAGGGAGTGGTTTGCTGGTCATGACACGCTGCAAAGGAGCAGAAGCTGAACTTTAAAGGTAAGCATGAATATGCAAAAGCGCTGAGGTGTAAAGCAACGTGCCTGGATGGAGAGCTGCCCACCCGGAAACAGCTGAGAACCACACCGGCAGGCTTTCTGTGAATCTGCTGCGTGAAAGCTAGAGTTTGAACAGGTGCCAGGGCCTCAGGAGGCAGGGTGGGCTAAGAGAGGAACAACAGGTGGGCACGGCGAAGCTGGCAAGTTGGAAAAGGCTACAGGTGTGAGCATGGGCGTTTTGCCTCTTATGCAAAAGAAACCAGGAAACGTTTCCTGCCTGGCTCTCTCATATGTGTAAGTTTCGTAAGTTCTTAACAGATAAGCTGGCCTGGAAGAAAACCCAGCCTTTGGTATTCTACACAGCCGCTCAACACATCCTGAATGTCTTTTGAATAGTCATGTTCCTGACATTTACATTCCCTCTCTTTGTGAAAGAAGTTTTATATCCAAAAAGGGAGGGTGGGGGGAAGATAAACACTTTGAGAAGGACTGGCGTGTCCCACCACTGCTAGGTAGATATTGGTACTATCTTTGCAAGATCAAGACCAGCATCACCACTTTCACAGTTGCAAGTGTTTAGACGATTGGCTAGCCTCATCAGCACATGCCTGCATGGTCTCTGGGCCAAAACAATTCTGGTTCTTTGTTTTGTTTTGTTTTATTTTAATTATTTTTCAAGACAAGTTTTCTCTGTACCTCTGGCTGTCCTGGAATTCACTGTGTAGACCAGGCTGGCCACAAACTAACAGGGATCCACCAGATTCTGCCTTCCTAGTGCTACTATTATAGGTATGAGCTACCATACCTACCCTTGGACTACTGTGTTTAACAAACAAAACAACCCAAGTCAGAGCCGGGCAATGGTGGCACATGCCTTTAATCTCAGAGGAAGACCTCTGAGTTCTGGTCTACAGATAAGTTCAAGGACAGCCAGGGCTTCACAGAAAAACTCTTGTCCAGAAAAACCAAACCAAACCAAACCAAACCAAAAACAATAACACACACACCACTACACACAAACCCAAAACAAAAATCCCCAAACCCAAACCAACAATAAAAACAAAAAACCCAAAGAACTCACCACCACCAAAATAACCAAAAACCAAAGCAAAACAAACCTCAGCCCAGCCTGGCATAGTGATGCATAAAAATAAGAGTCAGTAGAATTTTTTGATAATTGGAGGCCAGCCTGGTCGACATAGCAAGCTCTAGGACAGCCAGGACTACATACAGACCCTTTCTCCAAACATGTAATAATAGGTTTTTGTTTGTTTGCTTAAGACCATCCCAGTCATAAGGCTGGTGACTTGCCTCTTTGGGCAGGGCACCACTTTCCTGGTAGCTCTGAGACTCCCATCAGGTCTCTAGGATGCCGACCTTTAACCTTAGTACTACCAACACATGACCTGCTAGTTTATAAGCTATTAATACAGACAGGCATTTAGCTTCTGCACAACCCACCTAAGTCAAAAGCTTTCCCAGGAAGCTAAATTAGAAAAGTTAGTGTGAAATTACCTTGCTATTTAACAAGTCATTTTGTTCCTAGGTAGTAGTGACCAGATAGTCAACTGGAAGCCAGGTACAGCTCTATCCTTCTGCTATTTATCTCACCTAGAAAAAGTAATTTAGTTGTAAAAATGTGAATGTGTTTGATTTGGAATCCTGGCCCAGACCCTCACAGCCATCATGAAATAGATACTATTTGTTTTTTTTTGTTTTCATTTGACACAGAAAAGTTTGCTTCAATGTTTTCTGAAAGAATGCCCTTTCTGTTGCCAAGATTCTTGCAAATGAGACTTTGTAACTATTTGTATCAAGATGTGTTCTCTTAGGGCTGGAGAGAGTTCTTAGGCTCCCAGCTCACAGCTGTCCGTAATTTCAGTTCCACTGCCCTCTTCTGGTTTCCTTGGGTACTACATGCATGGTGAGCACACACACACACACACACACACACACACACACACACACACACACAC